TCCGCTCCATGTGTTTAGCGCGTTCAATCAGCTGGTTCGTATCCGGTCTACGACGGCCTTCTCTTCGAGGCGTCAGACGTGCTCTAGACGGTCGCAGTCATTGGGCCTACTCACCTCGGAACGTAGGCACGAAACTCACGAGGTTTCGGGGCCGGATCTGTGTATCTACATTGCCGTTGAAGATGGGAACACCGGCGGCATGGGAAGCCGCTTTCGCATTTCTCTTTCAATCGACGACATTCATCGCACCTATCGCATCCGACATTAGACGATTGGGTACATCCCTCGCTGGCTTGTCTTGGGATCTTACGCTCTGGAGACGCGTCGTCGTTGCTCCATAAGCACTGGGTCTGAAACTGACGCTCACGTTTTCAATCAAACAGGGAGCTCACAACGAGATAATGGGTTTTCGACGAGTATGAATGCATGTTCCCCAATCTTGGCTGGGGGCTAATCATCTACGTGACTTTCCTGCACCCCGCTTTTCCAGCAACTACCCCAGAATAGTTAGTCACTGTGCCGTGTCTTATCTTAAGGTAAGATAAGCTTGACGGAGACAGTCAGTTAATTGTTAGTAATAAGAGCTTATGACACCTCAGCGATAGGTGCCAGGCTGGCACAACTGCATCTCTGATCAGCAAAGCCAAGATAATGGTAGTTACCTGTTACGCTGGGCTGCCTAGTCAGGCTTTTGGTCGGCTAGTGACACCTAACTTATACCTGCCTTGGAGAGGCAGATAACCTAAATGTCCCTATAGACCAGAAACCTCAGCGAGAAACTGAACTGCAGCTGTACAATTAGGCTTTGGCGCGTGAAAGCTTTAGCATAATGATATTGAGAAAAAAATGCCGCTGCAGGTATCCAATCTTCCGAACCCAATAAAGCAGCTTCCTACCCTTTCTGTCTTATGAGACCAGACGTATAACATAAGAAGTATTGTTACTTAAGACTGAATCTAGATCAGAGCTCAAGCAATTGTGCATTTAACCGCTCCTTGTACGAGTTTTCTCTTAATTGTTGGTGGATACCAAAAAATACATCGAAACCAATTCTTACTTACAAAAAATCTCCAAAGTGATGAAATTTAGAACTCATCATCGACCACGAAGGGCCGCCATATATGTCCCGTCTAAGTATATTTTAGTAAAGGTATCTGACTGCAGGAACCAGGCTGTTATGGACCGGCGATCTGACACGACCTATAAGATTCTCACAAGTTACAGCCAAAACCTCCTATAGATTGAGGTATCTACCCAACTCCACCAAGTCGACTTACCTACTTTACAGAGTCGTACTTATATTTCCCTTTATTACCAGGCTGATAACTTCTTTAATGGCAAATTGATAGCTATTGAAGCTGTTGCCCAGTCTTGGAACATAGTGCAAAGTACTGGAGCCCGAATGGGCTACCTGGCCTGGTCTACGTTAAGGGGGGTGATACTAGCCAGATAGGGCCAAAGCGCGCGAGGCTGGGCTACGTAAGCCAAAAAGAATTTTGAACAGGACCAAATTCGGGGTAACAAACGAGAGCAAGGTTTACATTATTACACCGCCTGGATTTACCATTGAAAGCATCCGACATCAGTAATTCTCAACTTCTTCTCAGCATTTTTCTCATCCAATTAAAATTATACTATTTATTAGCCTATCTGAAAGGAATTGCACCATGATGCAAATCTCCGATGTTTTCCCATGGTACTATCAGCTTCTGTTTATGGTTCTCGAAGTATGCATTCTTACAGACTCCTGGCATATTGTGTCTCTTGTTAACGCTCCTGTAGCCAAGTGTGATATTTATTGCACTTTTCTTCATTCCAGTATCACCATCAAACCATTTCCACTCCCTCGCACCGTCTGATAGCACGGGGCCTTTCTGGTCGCCCTCTGCTATACACAAGCTATGTGACGCCGATTCAGCTTGGAACACTCCGCAGCTCCGCGCCCTCTGGTATTCATATATCTCCGCTCTTGCCTTTAGTGGAGTTATTGAACCGATGGTCCTGTACGTAGCTCGATACAAGCTGCGAGATATACGTGACGCGGAGGAGGTGATAAAGACAGTTTTGATTGCTTTCATAGCCTTTGATCTGTTCCACGCCGGTGCTACTTTGGCTGTCACGGGTGTGGCGGCGGTACTTCCTGGATCACAGAGTCACATATATGCTATGGTTAATGTTTGGGCTCCCATGGCGTGGATGCTTTTGCGGATATCGTGGATGGCAGGCGTCGGAAGAAAGTCTGCCATGACTGGGATAAAACGGGAGTAAATGTCAGTAATAGTTACTTACTGCTATTTGCTGGCAAAGGGAAACTAAGAAGTATTGATCTACATTTGCTTTTAGTTAGCAACGTTAATCGCGTGTGAGGCGCGCGATATAAGCCGTCAGCTGTGGGGTCGATTAACTCAAAATAACACGCTCTTACCTATACCCGCGAGAAAGAGCTGGCAAGCCTGACTCTAAGGGCGGCTTTCCTACCTGCCCACTAGCTTTCTTATTAGTGCATTACTTAAAGGTGTGATTCTTGTCATCGAGGGCACCAATTAAAGGCTCAACGCTTCTGAGAACATACTCCTTATCTATCACCATAAGCCCAAAAGGGAAGTAATACACATAGTTTTAAACCTATTAAGTATATCTGTAATATACAGATTAAAACCATCACTTACTTATCTGTTCCACTTGCCCATGTTTTCCATGGTGGGTCTTGACCACTTAATGCTACATACCCCTCGCTACCTGTGTCTTGGCGTCGGGTTTGCTGTGTGGGGTCGGCTCAGCAGACCATTTCTACATACCAAGTTAAATACCCGGGATCTGCCAAAATATATGTTCTCGTATATGGGATAAAGAGAAGAGGCTTGAATTGCTTGCTTTTGACAGGTAATGCCTTTTGTATCATAGGACAAGCTGCCACTACGTCCCATTGGGCTTCCATCATATTAAACCATCACTCATGCTTATTATTAACGAAATCATGTCTTCCCCGAACTCAAACTTCCATCCAGTCATAATTATTGGAGCAGGCCCGGTCGGCCTAATTACCGCGGTAAATTTGGCAAAGCTCAACGTGCCAGTACTGATTCTGGAGAGAAACCACCAAGTCGACCAATCTCCCCGCGCAGCCGTTTACCAGCCTTGTGCACAGGCGGAGCTGCTCGAGTCTGGCACACTCGATGATGTCCGGAAGGAGTCTGTTCTCAATGATGTCATGACTTTTTGGAAGAACAAGGAAAGGGTCGCTTCCATCACCAAGACGCAAGATGCTGATATATTCCCTGCCGGACTCAATTGCCCGCAACCCAAGCTAGCCAAAATCTTGGTCGACCATCTCCTCAAGAAATACAACGCTGAGGTCAAGTTCTGCGAGAAGGTCATTCAAATAAATTCCGACTCTGGCCAAGATAAAGTCGAAGTTGTGGCTCTGGACACCAATACAAACCTCGAGATCAGATACACGTGCAACTGGCTGGTAGGGGCTGACGGCGCTGGGTCAACCGTTCGCAGACTCTCCGACATTACATTTGACGGTTTTTCTTGGCCAAAAGAAGACTTTGTGGCAACCAATGTGCGCTTCGATTTCATGAAACATGGCTTTTCGACCGCCAACTTCATCATGGACCCGGTGCACTGGTCTGTCGTATGCATCCTCGATGACGCTGGTCTTTGGCGTTGTGCCTTTGGTGTTAAGGCGGGAATGACCAACGATGAGATTCGGGCTGAGATCGATGAGCACTACAAGCATATTTTCCCAGTCTGGCCTGCTGAATACGAGCTCGTCGAGCTGAACAAGTACAAACCTCATCAGAGATGTGCCTCGACTTTCAAGAAAGGAAGAGTTTTGCTGGCGGGAGATGCTGCTCATGTACGTCATTATTTTATAGACCAGCGTAACCATATTCAGCGAGATATTCTGATGTACTGACAAACGGACTCTAGAGCAACAACCCTATTGGAGGGCTGGGCTTGACTACAGGCCTCTTGGATGCGGGACCCCTGGGCCGCGCCCTTGGTGCCGTGATTAACGGTCGAGCACCAGAAGACCTTCTTGACTACTGGGCGAACGCGCGTCGCGACAAGTGGCTCACTTTCACAAATGCATTCTCCATTGAGAATAAAAGAATGATCCAGATGGGGGGATACAGCGAGGATCCTCTTGGTATATGGGCCGATGATGAAGTCGCAAAGGAACATAACATGGAGAAGTGGGTAAGGACGGCAACTCCGGAGAAGAGACGTGAGGACACTCAGTTCCACGAGTCCCTTGCAGACCTCCATAACCAGGATATGGTCCACGTGAGGCAATGGAGCATCACCCTTGATCCTCGGTGGATGGAGGAGTACGAGGATCCAGAGGTGGTCAAGTACAGAATTTCGCTTCGGCCAGATAGACCCTAAGTATAAGCATGCTGTTCCCATATGGATACCAATCAAGGTCTTCATAACCCGCATTGATTAGAATTAGGTTGCAATCTTTGAAATACCGGTAAATTATACGTGGCTTTGATATGATGGGAATCTACCTCTTTTCGACCAAGTAATATAACCACAAGGAAGGGATAAGACCGTATTGCAACATTTTCGTGATATCAAGTACTGTGTCAGACAGATTTGCGCCACCCAGCACACCCGCCAGACTCTAGTATTTGGCATCAAGTCACGAAACAAGTCCTATAACAAACCCCGTTTTTACATGGGTGTCTGGGAGGTTGTAGAAAAGCTTAATGCTTTTATTGATAAGTGCGACCCCAATATGCAAGTCTCGGATAACTCATTTGTTCCAGACTTCCCAGGCCCTTCGTAAGGATGGCGAGTCTGGCTGAATGAAACTTATCGACCCCGTTTATAATTTGACAGGAAGAAGAGCATGGTAGCTAGAGGTAATAGATTCAAAACAAATTCTATGGAACATACAGACCAGCAACTCTAGTCGGATGTTTCGCCATATTTACCAGTATTGAAGACTAATTTATATAAAGGAATTGTGACTCCAGAAACGGCTACTGTCTTGTTTCCGCCGCAAGGTCCGCCCAGTAAGCACATTTCTCAGATAATGAGTTACTTGTTTGTTCCATCCTAGTATTATTCGTCTCGATACTGAGAAAACTACCGCCCATGGATTCTTTCCAAAATAGCGTCCCATTAGCCCTTAAGATGTTAGGGTTGCCAGAAGACCGAGCGAAACTAGTCCAGAAAGCCTGCACTACAGGTACAATTGCAGCATTAGATTGACCGGGTTCATAGCTCCTGGCCCCCGGCAAAGCAGCGTAGTTTATGGAGTATGAGGGTCCCCAGACAGCCTGCGTGTCGAAAGTATGTGGCACAATGTAGCCAGCTTGGACCTCGACCGGATCAAAGATGCGATCAAGATACAAGTACACTGGAACACCAGCATGCTGGAGGCCGGCCGCGAACTGGAAAGCCGGACAAAGGAAGGAAGAATCGCCGAACATCACTGCAGCTCGGTAGTATAATGGAGCCTGCGTGATGCTGGCATTGGGATATGTCGCTGGTATATCTGAATAAAGCTGGTTTAGCCTGTTAAGAGCTGTTTCCGACAGACCAGGGAGTTGAGCCGTTAGGAATTGGTTCACATCCTCGGTAGTATTGGCTTGAGGTGCAAAGACGGTTCCTTCTGTATTCGAGGATCCCAGGATCATTGATTTGTCTTTTGCAAACCGTCCTTGCCGAAGCAGAGTGGAGGGCCGATCTGGGAGAAAGCTACCGTCGATGGTCGGGCCATATCCAAAAAGCGCTGGCTCATGTTGACCTGGGAATGGGATAGCCACGTTCTTGGCTTGAAACTGCTCAATAGGCAACTGGCGCAGACATTCCAAGTCGCTACAATTCGTAGCCGTAAGCAGGTGCTCGTAATGGAACTGCATCTCATCAACAGTGTAGACTGAGGGCAGATACATGGACTCGGCGATTCCTGCACTCCATTGCTTTGAGCTATTTGTGGACTTGCCTCCATATGCCAGTAATTGCAGAAGAACACTGCCTCCGCCGACGGAAGTACCGAAAAGTGTCACTTTGCTCGGATCGCCTCCGAATTTGGAGATATGTTCATGAATCCATTCGATAGCGGCCATCTGATCATGGAGCCCGACATTCAGGTTTCCTTCTTCTTCCAATTCATGGTTGGCAAGGAACCCGTACGGTCCAACACGGTAGTTAAAGGTGGCCACAATCATGTTTCCCTGGGTTGCTTCGATGAGGCCGGAACCGTTGTAGTTTGCGTTGATGTTCTGGACAAATCCACCACCTTGGATCCACAACATGACTGGAAGACCGCCGTCTTTGTTGGAGGTAGCATTTTTCGGAGCGTATACGTCGATGAAGAGGCAGTCTTCTGAGAACTCCAAGTCGGGGGTTGGAACAGATGGGTTAACGCCATAACAGACAGCGCCATGCTAGTATTTGAAGATTAGATAGGTCTAGATTGTAAGTGATAAACCTCACCTTGTGAGCCTGGACTAAGTATGTTTCATTGAGCGGCCGATCAGGCAACCGGAAACGGCGTGACCCCGTGGGCGGCGCAGCATATCTGAGCTAACATCAACAACATTTCGAGATGAAAGCGTTATAAGTATCAACATACCGCATACCCAAGAACTGGTTGACACCATTGAAAAGGGCCACGCCTTCGTATTTAGCATAGCCTAAATTGACACGAGGTGCAGTCGTTGACGAGCAGCTATCGACAGGCTTTGCGGCTGCGATGATGCCTCTGAAAGAGGACGCGCACAGCAACACGATGTACGAGAGTCGTGGCAACATGGTAGGAAAGTCTGGTATTCTATGAGGTATTGTGAAAGGAGTATATTGGCCGTCTGTAACCTGTCTCAGTAAATGTAGTGGTGGTAGGTGATCAGCATATTATATATGTATCATAGAGCACAGATCACAACCGGGCATTCAAGATTGCAGATCCTACATAACTAAGAGAGTAGAGCATAAAGAGAAAAACATTTGTAAGCACACTACAAATTAGACCGGATTTGTCGTGACACCGCCTTGAGTAAGCTGTCGCAATTCGCGCGCGCTTGTCAGTAATCTTTAAGATGGATTTCGGCCCTTATATTGTTAAAAAGAAATGGCCTCCGCTATTTTCATCAATCTCACCCTGTGCCTTATACGCCAGCGAAGCTTTCATAGGTAGATTTGCCGAAGATCGCGTACGTACTGCCCCACATCTAGCTTGTAGTATACCCCCAGGAGGCAACTACATTAGTTATCTTGCTGGACTTTTTTAAGCAACTCTATGGGATGGGATACCCAGCACAAGAGATAACTCAAAGATGAGTGATTAAAACGTTTTGCTGCTAATCGTTATTGTTGGCCGTTGTCAATCTGCATATCACCTGGATCGATAGCAGTGCTAAAATGTCAGAAGTTGCTTAATGCGATTCGTCGTGCAAGACGTGAACGTCCAATATCGGGATGCCGGAGGCAACAAGAGCAGCCGTCAGCCCTAGAGCACACGCCAGACTTTATTAATTCTTCAATCCATGATGTCTGTTATTCGTATTCAGAAAAGGTTGTCGATAAACGTGGGCTGGCGAGAGATTCCTCTGACTTTGTTCAGCCACTCTTACTGCGAATCCTAGTATCGCTACTTGCGAAGCGCGCCGAGTTGCATTATGTCTATCAAGCTGTTGAGGTCCATCTGGTCCTCTCTAGGCCTTGGAACGTCCGCTAGTATCTCCCTGGTTTCTAATAGCAGTCCCATCATCTATCAAGCTAATGAAGTCAACACACCTACTTCTTGCAAAATGGTCATAAATAGGTAGATAACTATTCTTCCACATATTGAGCTGGAGGTTTTGTTGGTTGCGATTGTAAGAATAAAGAGCGCTGCGCCCATTATTATGCATCGGCGTTGCGAAGTTGAGAGCAGCGTCCATTGGCGTACAAGTTGTTAAGGCCGCACATGCGAACAGTGTAGCGAAAATATCAACACAGACTCTTGATAGCGACCAGGGTGCCATTAGGTCTCCGCAATGGCAGGCCCCAATATAATCGGTGACGAAGACGCCTACACCTGCTTAGCAGATCAACTAAGGTATTCTAAGTTCTGTTTGCTGATTTAAGCTCTTATCCATAAGTCTCAGCTGCTAATGATACACCTGTATAACCATTTAGACATCACAAAGGCGCTACATTACACCAATCTAATGTCAGAATTGTACCAGATTCACTTTCAACAATGTAGAGAATCTTCTCAGGCCCTTCTCCCCAAGTCAAATTAGTCGTGCCGGAACCAAAACCTTTTGTTGTAATGGTTGCGCGCGGTGTGCCGTCCTTGCGATGCACAAAAACTGTGCCCAGTGTAGAATGAGCAACAAAAAGATCACCCTCCCTATTCGTCAACAGGCCATCAGCTCCCCCAACACCAAAGTAGCTCGAAAACCGCCCCGTTCGCTGCACACTGCCATCTGGGTACAGGGGAGCAAGCCAGACACTGTTATCCCTTGTCATGGCGACGAAGAGATTCTTTTCATCTTTATCGAGAACTAGGCCATTGGGTGAAGGGCAGTTGCGAAGCAGCACCTCGACGCGGTTAGGGCCAGCGTCTGTGTTGAAGCCTGGGCCGATGCGGTATACACGTCCCGTCGGGTCTTGAAGTCCACTCATACCCTGATCTGTGAAGATAATACTGCCGTCGCAGGTGACAATCAGGTCGTTGGGGCCCTTGAGCCGCTCGCCATTGAAGCGTTCCATCACAGTGGTCATGATCTTGGTTTTCAGGTCGAGAGCAAGGATGCCGTGCTTGAAGTCGGCAATGAGGAGTTGGCGCCGCTCTTTATGCCATGCTAGACCATTGGGCTCACCGTCGTACTGTATCACAAGGTTCCATTCATTTGTGTTGAGATTGACGGCGAAGATCCGACCGTACGGGATGTCGGCCAGATACAGCGTGTCGTCTATGACGACTGGCCCTTCAAGGAAGCTGTCGAGTGGTCGTCCACGTTTCTGGTTTGTCGAGTGCTCTGATACGCCAAAAGTGCGAAATTTGGATGGAAGCGTGGTTAGGAGCTTTGGCTCCAGAACCGGAGGGGGCATGGTCCAATTCATCTCGCAGGATAGCTGAGCAATACCCAAAGTGGTGATGACTTTTCGAACTGGTAAGATCAGGTTTACTTAGTCTAGGTCATCGGGCCTCTAAAGGATCTGAAGCGGGACTTTGCCGTACATACGCTCCCGCTAGATCTGAAGAACGGGTAAATGCCGCACGGGGTGGCGTGCGGAGATTGAGCAAGGAGGCTCTCCGCCCAGGGCTCCGGCGGTGTTTGCTCCGCTGACCCACGATTCCGGGGTCCTGCGGGGAAACTCAATGTAGATGCCAGGTTACTTGTGAGTTTATGTTGATTACCCCTTTATTTGCTCGTTGTGTCCAACGGATTTCACCCGCCACTACGCACAACATGGGCAAAAGCCTGTTCGCTCCTCAGCATACAAAAAATGCTCTATCTCATTCCAATTCAATACTGTACGAATTCTTTCCGTCTACTTCTCCATTAAATTGACGATACCCGTATATCATGTCAGGCCCAGAGAAACAGCAACCATGCCTTCACCTCGAGAACAACACTGAAGCCACCAAGGCAAACACCGAGAGTCCTGAAGCCTTCGGCCTAGCGGATGGGAAACGACTTGTCCGAAAACTCGACAGGACCATCCTCCCTTGGATCATGCTCCTCTACCTTCTCTCCTATATCGATCGAAGTAACATGGGAAACGCCCGTAATATTGGTCTCGAAGCGGATATTGGTCTCTCCAGCGTCCAGTATCAGATTGCCTCAGCTTCTTTCTACATTCGCACAGTCATATTCGGCACAATCGGCGCCTTGATGTTGAAGGTAGTCAAGCCATCCACGTGGCTGGGCATCTGTGCCGTGGGTTGGGGCGCTGTTAGCACTTTGCAGGCTGCATGTGTCAACCTGGGAGGACTCATTGCGGTGCGTTTCTTCCTCGGTGTGTTTGAGGCATCATTTGCCCCTGGATGTGCCTTGTACCTCAGCTTCTGGTACCTCAAGTCTGAACTATTTCTGCGCATCGCGGCCTATGCGGGAATGAGCGCCCTAAGCGGCGTCATCTCAGGTGTAGTTGCTTACGGTATGGGCCTTGCCAAAGACATGGCTGTTACTCCTTGGCAGGGCTTGTTCCTTGTCGAGGGTCTTCCAACAATTGCTGTGGGGATCGCTACTTTCTGGATGCTGCCTGGCCGACCAGAGTCCGGGAAGTCGTTTTGGTTCACGGAAGAGGAGCATCAAATCATCTTGAATCGACGTAGCCGGTTCACCAAGAACGCAGATGAAGGCATCAGCAAAGCTCAAGTCAAAGCGTAAGTCCCTCTTTATTTATATTTCCAACTGGCCATCCAAGCATTGACACAGACTCTAGCAGAGCTTTTCTCGATTACCGTCTTTACCTCTTCTGCGTTATGTATTCCGGACTTTCCTTGTCCCTTGCCGTCGCTGCCGTTTTCCTGCCTACAATTGTAAAAGACTTGGGTTACCACTCTGTGCAGGCGAACCTTATGACAGCTCCCATCTACGCCGTCGCTTATGTCACCTTGCTTGTGACAGCCGCCTTGTCTGACAGGTTTCGGGTCAGAGGTATTCCAATCTCCCTCGGAGGCTTGATCGCTGGCGCTGGATACATCTGTCTCGGTATTCTGAAAGATGACTTGTCGCGATATATAACATGTTTTCTCGCTGATCACAGTATGTTCGTTCATATACCAGCCGTAATTTCATAAAACTCGCTGACTGACCCCTCTCGTCATAGGGAACATACATGGCCTTCCCCATCGTCCTTACTTGGATCACTTCGACTTTTGCTGGAGACACAAAGGCAGGCGTCGGCCTCGGTATTGTTATTGCTGTCACTCACGCCGTGGGCGTTGCCGCGTCCAATATTTATCCCAAAACCGACGCGCCATATTATCTCATGGGCAACACAGTATCAAGCTCCCTCTTATTCCTCACAGCCCTGAGCGCTGTTAGTATGAGTGTCATGCTTTACAAGGAGAACCGCCGACGTTATAGACGTTTCGGTAGACCTGAAGCAGGCGTGCCAATTGATATGGGAGGCAATGCTGACAAAGCCCAAGACTATCGTTACGAGATTTGAGGCGTGTTTATTGTTGGAAATAGGATGTGTAAATGGTTTTGTTGATGTGTTATTATTAGCTATTGAGCAGATTATTATGGGCGATTTTGGGGAATATGTACCGCCGCCGGAGTCGGGATGAAGCCTATTGTACCTTTTGCTTCCTGCGGCGACATTTGCTGCATTGATAAGCGTTTTAAGCAATTGTTCTAATCATCGGTCGGAATTGCGCGACAGGCTCTCACTTTTGAGGGGCCTGGACTCCGCCTCTGATCTTGTGCTCGAAGATGGTTTGGCCAAACTTATCACAGGCACCAGTTTGGGCTTGGCTCTCGGGCTAGAAACGACTGTGCTTTTACTACCATAGCTTTTTGAAGCATCTGAGTTCTCTAACGCTGTCGTTTTCTCGAAGATAATAATCTTAGGAGTCGGGCACTGCACCTTTTGCGTTTCGAATCTTGCAGTCTCCAGCTGGCGAGAGCTCGGCAGGAAAGCCCATGGATGAGAAGGAATGGCTCGGATCCTCAAAACGACCCCACAAACCGTGAGATTATACAACAACTTGATTGTGTAGAACATAATGGCATTCAAAAAGAAGTGTTCTGGATTGGAGTCTTGGCTTGTTAAGTGAGTGAGCTGTCTGGTGGAATAATCAGCATCCGGAAGTGACGCCTTCTTAGTGCTGCAATGGCGAGGTAGCCAGGAATTGGAAGCCCATGTTTTGTACCTAATAGGTATCGTAGAATGGCCAATAAAAATGGCGTTAAACGCCCAGTCTAACCCTTACACCTGAAACGCGCTGTTGTACAGCACTTTAGTAAATCAGGTGTGTGCAAGATACTTCACGAGTACTGGACACTGCAAGTTTTCTCACCGTTCTCCGCGGAGGCCGGAAAATAAGGGCTTAGGCACTGCTTCCACTTGGAGCAGGTAATTATCTTATACAGAATTTGCAAAACTTTTATCGTTTCAGCATGGGGCCCTTAATAGCCCTTTGCTCCGAATTATATGTCTAACGTTCTGTGACAAAGGACCGGTATAGAAAATTAGTATTATAAATTCCTCACAAGGGACATAAAATAGCTTCCAGTCTTACTCTCTGCGTTCATCCTTCCGCTCTTTCAAGCCCGGTGCTAGCTGCGCGTCATCTCTTTTCATCTCGTTGCCTTTTTAGCTTATCTCGTTCCCTTTTTGACGAATCTCGTTCTCGCTCTACTTGGCTCGTTCTTCGTTTACATTTTGTCTGCCAAAATGTATTTCAGCCTCTTCTTGGTTGCATTTGTCGGCAATGCCGCTGCACATGGTGTTGTATCAAGCTTCAAAATCGACGGTGTTGAACACCAAGGTTACTTGATGAATTACTACTATGATGCTAAGAATGGCAAATCTCTCCCTCCTTTAGCTGCATGGTCTGCAGAGAACCTCGACAACGGCTTCGTTTCCCCAGCCAATTATACGCATCCGGACATTATTTGCCAGAAGAACGGAAAGCCGGCCAATCTGACTGTTCAGGTTGCTGCTGGGGGAACTGTCGACTTTCAATGGACTAAATGGGCCCATTTCGGCCCGATGATGACATATGTCGCTCCCTGCGGAGGCGATTGCGCTGCTGTTGACAAAACCACCCTCAAGTGGGTAAAGATTGACGAAGCAGGTATCGATTTTGATACTCAAGAGTGGGCGGCTCGAAAGATGGTCAACAACAACCGAACATGGACGACAAAGATACCCTCGACACTGGCTGCGGGCAACTATGTCTTCCGTCATGAAACCATCGCTGTTCACGGGTCGAACAGGATTGGCGGCGCACAGAACTATCCTCAATGTTTCAATATTGAGATCACTGGGTCTGGAACTGCTAAGCCTGAGGGCGTCTTGGGCACCAAGCTGTACACTCCTACTGATCCGGGCATCTACTTTAACCCTTACACAACTCTGAAGAACTATACTATTCCCGGTCCGCCTCTGTTTAAGAACGACAATGGAAGTCTTGGCAACGGCGCTATCACATTATCAAGTGCTGAGGGCCAGACCACTGCTACGAGCATTGCCACTACATTGGTAACCTCTGGACTGCCCAAGCAAACCACAGTGGACACTCTCATCAACGCCTTTCCAACCGCTACTATCATACCCAATCAGATCCCTGCTAAGTCATCTGCGACTGGATGTAGAGCTGTGCGAAATGGTAAACACCAGATAACCCGACGTTCTTAATTCTAGTACCTATTGGTCTATTCAAGATCCATTCATATACGCTCACCAAGAATACGTTTGGATTTCTCTTCCATTCATTTGAACCCCAAGGGTATGGCGCTGGTAGCCATATGTAGCTTGCCAAGGAAAAATGGCTTAGCTATTCTCTTATAAATAAAACTTTCATTTACAATTTTAAACTCTTATTTGCGATGCCCTGTAGAAACTATAAGGCTCTAAATAAGGAGCCAACGCATACTTTTACATGTTTTACAAGACTTAATAAACCACTCTATCATACGGAACATAAGAGGAGAAGTTTAGTAGTGGCGTTCAATCTGGCGACCGTGCACCCTGATGATTGAATTTTCTGGTGATGGCTATCGGTCAAGACGGTTAAGGTTTAGCACTAACTACCGTAACACACTGACGGGCTAATTACGCCGAGAGCGGCCCACATACCACGATCACAGGAGGCGTACTTTAAGCGTCAATGTCACAGGTACGTAGTAATTTGTTATCATAAAGCGCTAATGGACCCGGATAACAGACGCGTTTTATCAAGCGCATCCTTGCAGAATAATGTGTGTCGAAGAATCATGCTAGAGGAAGCAAATAAGTTAAATGATTCGTACGCATTCAGTTATATGTGTAAGAACTGCTTATGTAGACATAATGAGAGGTTTCTAGGACACACCAGCCTCGCCGAAGTGCCGGAGGTAAAGTAATTGAGATTCGAGCAAGGGGTGTGGTTCAGTCGTTCCATTGAGTCAGAACAGAATTACGCGGACAGAAGCAAACCTACTCAGCGCAGTCATTTGATTGTCCAGCCTGCTGACATCTTACTAGAGGATAGCGCAGCTGGTTAAGTCACAATCTACGCCAGCATTCCAACTATAACGATCCCCCATCGATCGCACGACTAATCACCAATATTTAATTGCCATGGCTCCAATCCGGCTGGCAAAAATTGGTCTGCCTACTAACCCTCGTAGCTGGACCGGCGTAGCCTACCTACCCTAAACCCTCTCTCGCTGAAGGGCTCACCATAAGATTGTCACCGTTTGCAACTCAAGCGCAGAGTAAGCGCATTGGGCGATAAAGACTTTTGGCCTGCCCTCAGACACTCAAGCATACAACGATGCCACCGACCTAGCCCAGGATGCCAATATAGACTTGGTAGTATGCAATACTCGCGTTGACGGCCGTTACACGACGGTCAAAGCCAGCATCTCCGCCGGCGCGGTGATTAGCTTGGATGCGAAGTCATAATGAGGTACGGGGAAGCAAAATGCCTTCCAGAGTCTTTGAGTTACTTTACTCAAATGGCCGCGAGGAGCAACGCGATCACCATCGGATCCGGCCACTGTAAAGTTTACTCATTCTCTGTTCCTCGGCATTTTATTCTTATTAACTAACACATCTGGTATAGGAGGTACTGTAATATCCCTTGAAGACGCCTATTATATTCGTAATAGGATGCGGCTACAGTTACCCAGAGTTGGGCTTACTTCGACGACCGGAGCCATAGTTGGCGCTGTCGAATCTGACGTACAAGATCTTATTGCTGTACCTACCAATACATTGAGAGGGGTGGAATAGTCCTTGTCAGTTTTGCGAGAAGACCGCCAAATCCTGGTGAACTTTATCTCTCGTGGACTAGAACAGGAGGGAATGGTGAGCTCACGTTCACTAAAGGAGGAGCCACGCCTTTATGGCTTCTGGGCCTGTCAAGATCGAGCTGCTCAATATCCCCGCTCGAACAATCCAACAGGTTGGTTCCATAGACCTGGGCGGCTTAGCGTCAGAAACTTCCAATCGCGCCCGGGGCATTTCCAACGTGTATGAAGCATAAGCACGAGGTGACCAAATGGCATGTTGCGACTCTGAACATGGGTCAAGGCGACATGAGCAATTAGGGAATCTGCAATCTACGGGCGTTTAAAGAATGGAGAAGCATAATCTATTAACTAGCCAGTCTTAAATTTACAAACTGTGAGCGATGGAAATGAGACAATAAGGCTCTGAGGGGCTCAAGATTCTTACATCCCCCACAGAACTCGCCATGCCCCCGATCAGATTGATTGGGATCTCGGAGCTAGAGGGAACAGACAATTAGTACAATACTTAGTGTTAGACTTATAGGAGGTAAAAATCAACGTTAATTTAGTAAAGTTAGATTCTAAGGTGAATAGAGTTCGCAGTTCCGTTGCTAATGAAGAAGGTAGTCCCAGCTTATGCAGTCGCACAATCTGGGGAAATACACCCACGAATGAAAAGAATCACCGACGTGCCTTATTGCCGAAAGCTTTGGGGGAAGCAATACTGGCTAGTGCAATCGAGGATTTGAACTACATCTCCCACTTTACGATGTCGCGCAACGTGTAGCACTTTCACTTATTTAAAAGTCGTTTGAGAAACAGCTGGAATGTGTTGAATGTGCCGGGCATCCGAGATAGTCCAGATTCCAGACTCGATGGTGAAACATGACAGCCTACAGGTTTCTCTGGAAAAATGCAGTCCACCAATTGACCGGGCTTTTTGTGGCGTCGATGTTGGTGTTTCAATCTTAACCCCGGTAGATTGGGGGCGATGTGGAGCACTCAGCTAATTCCCGGACCAAACTCGCGATCCCTAATGAAGATGCAGGGCCGACGTTGTTGCAAACACGGGCCATTGTCACGGCTGAACGGCATCAATACGCGGGTTTGTCATAATTCAAGCTTCAAATCCGCGCTTCAGATATAGGGCGTGCACTGAAGTCAGTATATAAGAGAGCTGCATGCTCTTGGCATCATATATCTTGTTCTTGGCATCAGCATTCCCTTCAGCAGTATACTTCAATTCGTATATACACTTTCTCAAAACTTCCATTCATTTAACGTTACATTCATTAACATGTTCTCTTCAACTGTCCTCCTCAGCGGCCTGGTCGCCTCTGTACTCGCAGCCCCTCTTGAGCCTCGTGCTAGCTGCACTTTCACCGATGCGGCTACTGCCATTAAGAACAAGGCTGGCTGCTCTACCATCATTCTCAACAACATTGCCGTTCCTGCAAAGACCACTCTCGACTTGACCAAACTCAATGATGGCACTCACGTCATCTTCCAGGGCAAGACCACTTTCGGCTATGCCGAGTGGGAGGGTCCTCTCATCTCCTTCACCGGTAACAACCTGCTCATCGAGGGAGCTTCCGGACACTCCATCGACTGCGAAGGTAAGAGATGGTGGGATGGCAAGGGCAGCAACGGCGGCAAGACGAAGCCCAAGTTCTTCAGCGCCCACTCCCTCAAGAACTCCAACATCAAGAACCTGAACGTTCTCAACACCCCTGTCCAGGCTTTCAGCATCAACAGCGTCACCAACTTGGGCGTCTACGGGGTTCACATGGACAACTCTCTCGGCGATTCTCTCGGTGGACACAACACCGATGCCTTCGACGTTGGCTCCTCCACCGGCGTGTATATCTCTGGAGCCGTCGTCAAGAACCAGGACGATTGTCTTGCCATCAACTCTGGCACCAACATCACCTTCACTGGCGGCAACTGCAGTGGTGGTCACGGTCTTTCCATTGGATCCGTTGGTGGACGCTCTGACAACACCGTCAAGACAGTCCGCATCCTCAACTCTGCCATTTCCAACTCCGACAACGGTGTCCGCATCAAGACCGTTTCTGGCGCTACCGGTTCCGTTTCCGATGTCAAGTACGACACCATCGCTCTCTCCAACATCGCCAAGTACGGTATCGTCATTGAGCAGGATTACGAGAACGGCTCTCCCACTGGTACCCCCACTTCTGGTGTCCCCATCACCGACGTCACCATCAACAAGGTCACTGGAACTGTCAAGTCCAGCGGAACTGATGTCTACATCCTTTGCGCCAGCTGCAAGAACTGGACCTGGACCAACAACAAGGTCACTGGTGGAAAGACCTCTACCAAGTGTAAGGGAATTCCCTCTGGCGCCTCTTGCTAAGTTTTGAGCTTGAGCGAGGAGAAGTACATGGAGGTTGTGTAGACATGACATATAGCTGGTACTATCTTCTGTTTGTTTTCTTTGTACATATAAGCTACCAGTTAATACTATTCTCTCTGATGCACATATTGACTTTCTGTCTATAGCATGTTTTGTGAAATACAAAGAGTGCATCAGTTATAATGTCCCACCATAGCTTGGTGAGCAGTCTTGTGTCTACTGACCTTCAGCTTCAATGAGCCTTGATCCGTCTTAACTCTGCCTCATCCTGTAGCTACACGTCTCGTGATAATTAGTTCTCTTCCAGTTGCTCCAGGATTGTCATTCCCGGGGTTGCTATGAGGCCGTGTCATTTTGACATTTACGGGCTGCCAAGGTCTCGTAAGAAGCGCATGTGTTTAAAACAGTAGGCGAGATTTTTCCCCCTCTCTTCTTCTCAAGTTTGAGTTTCTCGGCTGGTCATGCATGGTCTTGCCGAGAGCTTTGCCTTACCTTTACGCAATCAAGATGCCCAACCTTTCATTGAACTAGCCATGGCAAGAGGAAATATGTACCGAAATACTTGATTCACATTCCTGAGCCTGTCACAAGCCAAAAATCAGATTGATGATGGTTATTTCAAGGCTCAATCTGCTTAAATGAGTCAATTATGAAATCTTATTGTAATTGGCTATGCCTGGTCACACAGTGTCTTTTGCCCCACCTGCGGGGTCATGATCACCCGTCAGCACTAACATCAGGACACTCGAGACTAGGGTACCTTAGAAAACACCATACTTCGTGTGTTTTGCAGTGAAAATGAGCATAGCTCCCTTGGTTCTACGTCCAATGAATGCAGCAGCTGACTCCGAAGATCTGCTTTACGAGTACGTACCGCTCGGCGCCGAGGAGATAAGATTGTTGTGCCTCCACCCTGGCCAAGAAGCAGATCAGCTCAATGGTGAGCTCATTGTCAAAGGCTTGGAGGAGCTACCCCTACGACAAAAAGCTGGCACTGCAGCTCAAACAGATCCGATAGACTCAGGGAAAGATGTTTGCTTTGACGCGATTTCCTATGTATGGGGCGACTCAACCTTCACAGACACCTTCTTCACCCCCCAAGGATCCATCCCCATAACAGCATCACTCGCTTCTATTCTACGGCGACTTCGCGACGAGGAAAAGTCCCACTTTTACTGGGCTGATGGCCTTTGCATCAACCAATCAGATGTGGCTGAGAAAGAAGTCCAAGTGTCTCTCATGGGCATCATTTACAGCTCTGCCATAAGAGTTGTGTGCGATCTTGGCGAAGAAACAGAGAACTCCACACTAATACTCGACGCCATGGAGCGCTATTGGAAACGAAACATCCGCCACGGACTCATGTTGAGCCAGGGAGACTCCATGACCCTTTCAGGAGAGTCAGCGGCAAAGCTCTTGGGTATACCATACCTTAGAGATGAGGAGGCAGATGCTGTTGAACAAGTTGAAGGAGAGCAATGGCCTGCGAGGTATCTTGAATTCATCTCTGCGCCATGGTTTCACCGCCTCTGGGTCGTGCAAGAGTTTGTCCTTGGACGTGATGTAGTCATGATCATCGGGCGTCGACACATCCCTTGGGGTCAGCTCTGGGCAGGTACTATGTGGTATAAAGGAGTCAAGTGGCCGTGGGAGCAAGCCGAGTACACCAACGAGGACCTAACAAGCCTCTTCACATCATACTACTCTATGTGCCTCGTTCGTTTAGGTCGGCTTATGGATCTCAACACGTTACATGGCCGTGAGTTCAACGACATCATCAAACTACTCCGTGGTGGATTTGGTATGGATCATGAAATCCTGCCATTTTCCATGGTGTCATTTTGCTCCCACGCCTGCAGTGTGCCCCGGGACCGGTATTTTGCTATTCTCGGTATGGTCAATGAGGACGACAAGGAGAAAGCACTCAGTCTTCGACCTGATTATACTTGCCCAATGAGGGACCTAACAATGCGATTCTGGAAACATGCAATGCAAAGCCAATCAGGAGTAGACCTCCTGCTTCTCACCGGTCTACCTGGTCGTGTCGAAGAATACCCTTCTTGGATACGAGATCTTACTGTACCGAAACCACTGCAGCATATCTGGGTAAGACGTCCCATGGCTACTGGATGCCATGCAGCAGGGGGCCCTGTAAGCATGTGGTCTATAGACTTTAGCCAAGATGATAGTGATCAGTGTTTCGTCCAAGGCTATCATATCGACGATATTACAGACATGTCGTCCAATGAGGCTTCTGATCCTTTCAACTTTGTTGCGATGGCTCATTGGATTCAGGAAGCTTTCAACTTCTTCACTGGGCCTGAATCGTCGGTCGTTGACTTGGATACACTATATCCTCTAACTGCCGATCCTGTCCACGAGGCGGCTCTGAAGGTGATGATGGACTACAACAAAGAAGACACCATAAAGCCCGATGATGGGGAAATAAATGAAATGCTGTGTGTAGGACTGTCTCTACCTCTCGTAGCCTTCTCTGAAGATACTGAGGAAGAGGCGGCTGAAAGAGAGGCCAGTGAGGAAGAGACCATCATGGCCAGGATCATTTCTGGATTCCAAGATGAAATGTCCACTTTGGAGGAACTATTCGTTCGTATACACAAGATGAGAGGATTGGGTTTCTATAAAACCAAGAAGGGCCTTTTTGCACTACTACCAAAGGAAACCCGCCCTGGGGACTCTATTTGGATTCTCAAGGGTTGCAGATTACCTGTTGCACTACGGCCAAGTACATCGCATGACGATTCATATGAGTTTGTTGGAGGTGGCTATGTGTATGGAATTATGAACGGGGAGATGCTGGAAGGGCCTGACTTTGGGTGGCAAAACGTCTGCCTCAGATGAGTTACTTGTAGTCAATGTCGATCGAATTACGCCTAGAAGAAGATTTACATTTTTGATCCCTGACTGTCTACACATATATAACCCTGAGCACCCATAGAGTACTCGCAATTAATCTACTCTATGAACAGATAGCAGTATACCTCGCCCGAAGATCCTGTTAATGCATGGCAATACTCTTACCTTTACTAACTAGCATACTCGATATCAAACTTGTGTTCCCGCTTATTAGACCCAACACGAACTTCCCACTTCGGTTCACCTTGCAATCCCATAGTAAGTTCAAGGTCGTTATGCTTTCTCCATCCCTCTGATGGATCCCCTACTGGTTGCCATTCAGTAATAGGCTTGTCCCAGTCACACTCAATCCGACACAAGCTCAACACAGCAGAGTTTGATCTCTTTGGTGCTGGATCCTCAGCGCTGTATACAATTTTGAAGGCGCACTTTTCAGGCATATCTCTAGCCCTGTAATAGTGGTGATAGAAGAAAGGAATCCGCGATTTCTTGTCGATCTTATCACCCTGTGATGGTTTTAGTACGAGCATACGCCTCGAACAATTGGCTTTCGTACCTTTAGCAAATACCACCTCATTCTTGACACTCTTTCGAATCCTTCTGGGTTAATCGTAATCACATCTTCAGGGTCAAGATTTAAGCCTTCAGTGGAGGTACTGACCACAATTCCGTAGTGGTACCTTGATCGGCGAGAAACAACATCTGGTAGGATTCCAAGAGCTTCTTGATCTTCTGGTGAATGGACTGGCTGAGACGAAATATTCTCCTGCAGCAGCCGTAGAACTGCACCTCGAGCAACAGCAGACCATCTGGAGACCTCTGATTAGCATATGGATTATATCAGATGGAGATATCCTACCCATCGCTTGGTCTGAGGACCTTGTTGGAGAAGATTTCAGTCAGCTTATCGTAGACATACTCGGAGCTACCCAAACCCCCAACGAGAAGTATCTTCTAGAACGCCCGCGGATTAGTTCATCTGGACTTTGGTATCACTTCGTGACGGAGAATTAGTGGTTACCTTTGGCGGCTTCCCTGTTTCCTCTTGGACCTCTTTGCATTGACTCCCAACCAACGTCCGAATGCCTGTAAGAGATCTGTTGAAGAAGCCCGTCATTTCTTCACTTTCCAGACGTGTCAGTATCTTGTCAACTACTTGCAATCAGAAAAGCATACTTGCTGATGATCAAGGTGTCCTTGTGTCTGAGCCGAGCAAGCGTGCCATAGGCCTTACTCGGCGGATGGAGGTGATAGTTCTCTTGTGCGTTAGAAATACTAAAACTTCGTTTTGCGCCGAGTTCCCATTCCCGCAAAATAAACTGATTGTAATCAAAGTCTTTGAGAGAACTGATCTTTAGCTTGGCCTTACCACGGACATAGGACTCAAATGCTTGGTCAATCTGGAACGCGCCAGCCAGTTTTCCTATGACGCTATGTTAGATATGAAAAATCCGAACGCCATTATAGCTCATAAAGTCCACCAACCTGTTCCTGGGACGCACTCTTCCAGCTTGAAGGGGCGTTCGGAGACAACTTTGTAGCTGATGACATCCTGATCAATATGTTAGCTCCTATCAACAGATAGAACCGAGAAATTGGTGTCATACTACTGTACCACCGCCTGCGTCACAAACAACAAACGATTCATTTTGCTTTACTTATAATTAGCGCTAATTGGCAACTTAGACGTAGGTGGTTATACGTACTTGTATCTCTGGAGAAGAGTTTCTCTGGAAGAGACTGGCCAACGCGGCAGCCTCGGGCTCTTGTACGAGTATGAGAGTCGTTTCTCCAATGTCTCTGTACTTTGTGATTCCTGCAATCTTGGCAGCCTCTCTCATCGCACTCTGTGCATAAGCGGGCCAGATGGCGGGAATGGTAATGGCAACACGCAGGGGTAGATTGTCTACATCCAGCATGGACTTAAGAGCTGCATAAGTGTGATCCCACACGTTCTTCAAGTAGTAGCCAACAACTTGCACTGCCGTAAGCCTCTTCCGGGAGCTGGACAGGATGTCCCTGGCCTGTTGAAGTTGGGGCGCGTTGCGAATCTCTTCTTTGGCGATGTCCTCGTTTTTCAGTAGCAGGAGCTTGAACCACTTCATGGGCTTCATGTCAGGCGTGATTTCAAAGCCCCATTTACCTGAATCAATGTCGTAAAGAGTTGGTACTTGAACTTCATTCTGGTTGCGATGATCCTCAGATGCCCAACCCGTAATGGAATGGACTTCTTTGGGATTGGTAGATCGTGCCCAAGAAACGCCAGAGTAACTGTAGTAAGGAGATGTTTGTGTTAGTCACTTCCGTTTAACAAATAAGCGTTATGTGACATCTTGGCTCACTCACGTCGTTCCAAAGTCGATGCCAATGGCAACAAATTTGGGCGAATAGTCATCGGGATATGCCTGGTAAGAATGCATATTGCATCAGGTAGCAGTAGGGGCTGGCCTTCAAATTGACAAGTGGACGCTCAAGTTCTGTACGACTGTCGGTCTGGATTGGGGAAGACTGGTTGGGAATATGAGAAGTAGTCTGCACCTTAATGCGAACCTGGATCTAGCTTTCATCTTCTTAAAGTCAGCCTAAGGCAGCTCTCGAGTCGCCAAGCTCATCCAGCTGCGGACGCCTTGCCAGGCAGTCCACTTCCCCACTCACATAACTGAGAATAGGCGCTGAGGCGTCTGCATGCGTTGTGGCATTGCCTTGCCCGCATATTTCTCACCCACCTGAGAGTGCAGAGTCCGCTAAGGTGGCTAGGTGGGCTGCATGGCCCTGAGAGGGAGCCAATTTACCCACAGCCTGATTTCTTTCTCAGCTCTCAAATAGAGGCATGCTTATTTTAATCGTCTTGTGCCAGCCTCAGAAGAGAAATACTAACAATCACAAAAGACTTCCAAATGGCTAAACCCACCATGGATAACAAAAGCGACGGCGTTGTTCTAGTCATGGGAGTCACTGGGGCAGGGAAAAGCTATTTCCTGAACCAGCTTAAAAGCGAATCTGTTGTTGAAGGCCACTCCCTGTATTCAGGTATACATTACCCCTCACTTCGCTGCCTCTGGTATCAAAACTTATCGCGTTTACAGGAACACAGAAATGCCAGGCAGTTCATATCATCCTCGACGAGGATGAGAAGCGCAGTATCACAGTGGTTGATACGCCGGGGTTTGGTGATACATTTCGCTCCCAGGCAGAAATCGTTGGCGAAATCACGGACTACCTTGCTGCTCAGCATCTGTCTGGCTTGCCTCTTCGGGGTATTTTATACCTCCACAAAATCACGGACAACAAGGTTACCGATGCTTCGCTACAGCACATCCAAATCCTCAGAAAGCTTGTCGGAGACAATGCCATGACTAATGTCATTCTGGTTACGACCATGTGGAATATTCTCCGCCCAGAGGATCACCGGCGTGCTGTTCAGCGCGAGCAAGAACTTGTAACCAGCTTCTGGAGCTCAATGATAGACAACGGGTCCATCGTGGCCCAGTTCAACGGCACGCCAAGATCTGCTTATCCTCTTATCCATCAGCTGGCAGATCAGCAGAGTGTGGTCCTCGATATCCAGAAAGAAATCGTGGATGAGAACCGTTCGATTTTAGAAACCGCTACGGGCATGACCCTTATTGAACAGCTGAGAGAAGACCATGAGGCTTACCAGATTAAGCTGTGCAACCTACGGGACCAACTGGGCCAGCAACAAAAGCTAAGGCCGGCCAACAAAGTGGAGATTAAGCGGCTGAAAAGTGAGATCAAATCAACTGAGGAGGTTCTGGATGCTATAAGCGGTTCAGTGGGTCGCATGAGCGTTCGACCTGGTGCGCCAATGCGACAGCGAATGAAGCAGGCTCTGAGGGAACATGGCGGGAAAGCTCCGGTAGCAATCGGAGTGGCCCTCAACATCACCTTGTTTGTAGTTGGGCTGTTCATATAGTGTAAGGCAGTGAAGCGAAGCCTTATCACGGTTTAGATAGTTTTTCTTTTTTTGGCTTTTTTAATTATGTGTCTCTTCCTCAAACGTATCAGCTTCAACTAGTCAGCTGAGTTGAGGTGAATCAGTTCAGGTGTCAGCGGTGACAGTTCCATGCATGCCAAGGTGAGAGAATATTGGATGGTGGCGGCTGACTGGCGGACGCGTGGGGGCTACCACGAACACCTATAGAGAATACCCATGTTTTCAGTTAAGCCCAGAGCGCTTAACGGTTACAATGACTGTGCGAATCATCCGCATTTGGACCCGATTGTGGGTTTCAATTGTTACAGTTTATTATGTAGTTTAGCGATATTGATGAACTTTAAATCAAGATAAATATTACTTCTTTGCAGAAGGTGACTTTTCCCAGTGCATCTAGTTTCAACACTGTTCGGCGTTATTAGTATAGTAGGTACATTGTACGGAATCAGGCTGCAAACCAACACTTCTGCAGAAGGACATATCAGGCTGTCAATCAGCCCCAGGTCTGGCTAAAAGTTGTATTTGGGCTAAGCACAAACGAGCACCTCGTATATGCATGTCTCGGCCATCCTGCAGGGCGGTGGAATGGCGAACCAGCGCGCTCACAAGGCTCTCTCCAAGATCAGACGAGGTGAGCGCAATGTATTGCTGGGACACGGAGCCCCAATCCAGGCAGTACTTGTTGCAGTGTAATTGGTAGTAAGACCTTGCTCTTCAATTCGCGGAACTGCAGGTTCTCCCTCTTCGCCCTCTGCCTCCCTCCTCAAGAGCTTCCCTCCCTTTCCAGCAGTCCAAGTCAAAAAGAGCACCAAGCATTCTGCCTTAACGACCCAAACACAATTCTCGTCCCTATTGACTATGAAGCGTTCCTATCACGCTGAACGAGAACCTGCCAATCGCCCTCCTATCACAAAGGCAGGTCGGCCTACCGAGCCCTCCTATAACCTAGTATCAGAAAAGCCTCATAGGAGCAGCTCTAAATCGTCAAGACATTCAAATCACTCCAGGCGTCGCTCTATGGACATGTCGGAAGCAGAAGAACCCATCGATGATCTTGTTAAAAGACCAACTTCTCACGGTGTGATGCAGCGTCTCAAAAATAAGCTCTCGTCGTTAACTCAACAACCATCTATAAACAATGCAGTCAAGAATCCTGAGAGTCCTGGGAGGAGATCTATCAACTCAATTCAGAAGTCAGTTGAACTCAACGTACCCAATGGACTACGAAGTCCCAGATCCCCGGTCGGTGAACCAAGCCAGCCCACTACTCAACCAAATGGCACTTCACATGCATTCCCTGTCGATGGCCAAGGCCCTGAGGACAATTTCCACGGACCACCAAGTGTTCAAAGTCCTTCATCCGGGCTACCAGCTGAGGGTCCTGGTGTCCATAGAGTCTGTACACCAAATGATTTTCATACCGAACAATCCAAGGGACTCCCGCTTGTTCCAGCAGTTCATCACACCCATGTCATGGCTATATCTCAGGATGAGAGCATCTCTTATGGAGAAAAGGACTTAGCGATGACTCTCAATGAGCAACAGGAGATTATGAACGACCTCATTGCAGAAAAAGAGTCTCTTTCACAGCAACTGGAAGCGGAGCGTCAACAGCGGCAGAAAGACCTTGCCTACTGGAGAAATCGCACCAGTGAAGCCGCAAGCAAGAGTGCCAATCTTGTCCCTGGGATGCCTCTCAGTCAGCCAGACACCGAACTCCGCAACGAGTGGCGAAACCTGGCCTTTGACGTGAGGAATTTTGTAGACAATCACTTCAACAAAGTGAGCACTAACAAACTTGAGGCTTGGGGGAAAGAGAACGGGGATTTCCTTCGAAAGATCACCCCGACCTATCAACAAGTCGTTGGGGGGAGGCGGTCAGGTCTTGCTATGGTTGAGGCAGCTGTTTGGCAAGGCCTCTGCAGGGCGGTGTTTGGGGGCCTCGGGGACAATAGCCCCATGATCTGGGCTGGTCCATATCAAAGGAGCCTGAGAATATTGGGTGAGCATAAGCATTAGTCTGTGAGGTTAAGTCATAACTGACACGGCGATAGTTAATGAACTCCAGCAAGGCCAAAAGCAGAAGAATTCCGAACAGTTTTCTCCCCTCTTCCATCAGTGGGGTGCTCTCACAGCCAATCTGATAGAAGTACTTCGGACGTCTGAACATCACTACCAACGGGTTCATCCCGTGGTCCAAGAGCTAGAAGATCTATTCTTTGCCTGCCGCTCTGTCGGCGTGATGTACAAGTCCGACACATATCGGCGAGACCTGCGGGCCCTAGTCACGAAAGCTGCCAGGTTTGACTTCAACCTGTCTGGCCAAACGGCTGAGTATTTCATCGGTTGGCCGACGTCTGGTCGGTCCAACATGTCATTTGATCAGAAGACAATGCAAGTGTCACAACGGAGTCCCCAGTCAACCAGGAATGTGAGGTTCATACTACAGCCTTGTTTCTTTCGAGTTAATAAGCAGGACGATACTTTGGCGGTCATTGATGAATGTACTGTTTGGATGTTTTAGTTTTAATATGTAATAGACCGTGAGTTCTCTATAAATCTCACTAGGCCGCTATCACTCTTCGCCTAGTTCTCTGTCTGTCTCATCTGCATCGGGTTTCATACCACTCTTCATCAAGATTTATCGGCCATCGTGAAAGCTTCTGGGCAAAAGCTTATATTGGGGGAAATGTATACCATGCTCTCATTCATCACCTGTGTTTGCAGCCTAAAGCTCAACCTGAAAGGCCGCAGTCAAGCCATAGACACCATCTTCAGTCCTAGGGCGTAGATAGATCATCCCTCGTCTTTAAATCGACGCTCCAACACGATCAGTCTCTGTTCGCAAGCCTCAATGCGGCGTCCTCATCTTGCTCGGTGGCTTTTGAACATTGACCTTTGTAACCTATACAGGTTCATCACTGCCTATATTGCAACCCAATATATTGGGGCTAATTTCTGTTCCTACAGGTTTTGAAGACGTCGAAAAGGCATCATCTGTGGAGAATGACGTCGCAAGTCACAAGGTTAATGTAATTTTTTGACAAGGGAGACAATTAATAGCTATTAATTGATAATTAAAGCTTATAGCATCTCAACAAAATATATCAAGCCAACATATTAAAAAGTACTAATTAACTTTAGGTTTCTAAAGGCAATATATATATAGCCTTAATGCAGATAAGTCTTCTAATGAAAATCAGAATAATATACTTTAATGATGACTCAATCAGTAACCGAAGTCACACGTGGCTACATAAATAAACACAGTCAAAGTCACATTAAGTTCCCTCGAAGAGGGCAGTCAACAGCTATCTGGAGGAAAGTTCCGAGTTTGGCTATGGTAGCGGCCACTTTGGTATTTACATAGTCATGTCACATTATCCGACAAACCTTTCACTGAGTTAAGATTCAAGCAGGCAATCAGTAGTAAGATAACAGGTAAATTAATTAGCTAGCAACCAACCCAGAACAAATGAGATATCCTTAATAAATCTATATCATAACAATCCCGTGAAATCCATGAACCGATAGGTTTCCGTTCAATTGATGATGATGCGCTGGGACTTGGGAGTAGCCTTAGGAATGACTACGGTCAAGAGACCATCCTTGAGGTCGGCAGTGACCGCGTCGTGGTTGATGTAGGTGGGGAAAGTGAAGTAGCGCGAGAACTCCTTGCTATAGCCAGAGCGTCTTGGCTCTTCAGGTTGCTCAGGCTTCTTCTCCTGTAACTTCTCGCTGAGAGTCTCAGGCTCCGGCTGGCTGACGGTCTTTGACTTCTCCGATGTGTGACTCAAGACCTCAAACTCGTCATCATCGACATCATCCTCGACAGTGGCCTGGTAAGAGCTTCTACTTCGGGTGTCTTCGTTGTCTGAATCGGTGACTGGGGTGGGAGCAGTCTGCTCGGTGGTTGTTTCAACTGGCTTGGGCTCCTCTGTGAATCGCTCAACCTTGCCGCTGACGACAAGCTTGCGAGGCTCAGGGAACTCGACAGTGACGTGCTCCTTGTTCATACCGGGAAGCTCGCCGTAGAGCACGAAGGAGTCCTCAGTCTCATGTGCCTCGAAGCGGGGCTCCCATGGGCGGGAGTTCACCCGATAGGCAGGGCAGGAAGCCTGAGCGCGGGTCTTCTGTTGAGGCTGGCATTGGCGCTTTCGCTGGGGCTGCTGAACCGACTGGTCAAGCTCTCGGAGGAGATGATAGAGTGGGTTCTGGGGAGCCTGGATATGGTAGAAGGTCTGGGGAAGGAAGAATGCCATTGTGTTTGTGTGTTTTGGTTGCGAGTTGTAGAGTGTGATTGATATGATGGATCAGGCTTTTGATTGGCTGAGCAGAGGCGACTTGTGCTTTGGGCTTTGTTCGGATTAAATGAGCAGTGAAGAGATGAATTCTGATGATGAAAAGATTTACCAAAGACGTCGGAAGCGATTCATTTATACATCAACATCTTAGAGTTAACCTTTAGGCAGGGCGTTCTTGCGCAAGCTGTTACTCAACATATCGAATTGCCATGATCTTGCCCGAAGCATCCAGAAGGTTCTTGGGACTTTTCCAAGCTGAGTAAGATGCCATTTGTCAGTATTCCGCGCTAAAATTAGCCACTGTGGCTGCTGTGGCTGCTTGGAAATTCACAGTCTGAGCCTGAACCGATGAAACTGAGTCAGCATTGATGACAAATTTGACTCCCAGACAGTCCGTGCTAACGCCGTCGGACTTTTGCCAGTGAAACCGTGATGGGGCGTACCCGATACTAAAGCAAAGCGTATAACGAGACGTAACAATTGGCGTATAGCTGCGAAAAAAAAAAATTCATTTCTGATTTCTCGATTTATTTTAACTTTTTTACCTATTTTAGTGCCCCGACGATATTACTGCGGATGGCCAGAGCAAGCAGATTAAAATGCTTTTGTCCAGTAAACGGAGCTGGATATATGCACGTCTAGCGTGCAATGAATGAAAATCGAAGCAGATGGAGAACGGTCACGTCGCATAAGTTTTAGATATCACATGTATCTAATACTGCTTCTGTTATGCCTACTGCGGTAATATACAACCTTGTTATCTTGTCTGCCAATATGACAATACTCGTAGTCCACTATCAAGACGGTCAGAGGGAAGATAACACCCCGCGCTCTGTAACTAGAATCAGGAGGCTCCTGCTTCAAGACCATCACCAGCAGTAACACCACTAATATAGTTCAATTCTACATGTAGAGATGCGTCAGAGAGCTATCTCTATCTACCTCTGCGAAATAAAAGTCTAGACTACCCCCACAATAGTACTGAAATCTACTGAAACCTAAATGGAATAGTGCCTAAAATTCCTACCAGTTAAACAGAAAGGTAAGCGACATTATCCCAAAGCAGCAAGCGTGACTTGGCGTAATTCGTCACTTTTGTCTCCAGCTTTTCGATAGTCAGCGCCATAGACTTTGTTTACAGCACCTAGCTTGTAGATGTCACAGCAAAATGTTTTTCTGTACCGTGTCTTATAGGTAAAGCTAAAGAAATCTAGATCCAGTGGCGTATATTGGTCCCAGAATGTGGTCTGATGATAAGACTTTCAGCTTTCAGCTTCCAGCTTGACTCTTGTCCGACTTTCTGTTGTCGCTCTTGGATAAAATCTCCTGGCTTTCCACTAACCACATTGCATTGTCCCTCCAAAGTACAAACTCCAACTATTACACGTCATCTTGTATATCTGAATTATTTCCTCCTGTCTACGCCATGGAGATTACTGACGGATCCTCGCTTTATCAAGGGCCTGGTTGTAATTTATCCAACCCCAAGTATGGCTACGACTTTGTCATCTCAACTACCCAAGCTAGTATAAACTCGGATCTGTGCATGTACCTGCACAACAGCACTTTGCCTTGTAACTACTTTTGTTTTCTCTCGGTATGTTACTCCATTTCGCAATCAGATAACCCTTGAAGGTGTGTGTTAGGGGCTGTTAAGCCAGCTAATCAGGACCAGAGCCCCTCAAATGCGAATGCAGTGGTTCCAGTCGCCTTGGAGGACCTTGTTACAAAGACAGGTGGGGTTGATCCCTTCAAGGTGCCACGGGATACCCCGTACACAGACCCTCGGGTTCAGGCGCTAACCAAGGTGGGGTTCGCCGTTGGTGTCAAGATCCGCATGGGGCTTCCTCCTGGTGTAGAACCGAAGGATCTCCCTCCCATTCTAGAGCTTGGCGATCTTGCCAACTTTGCCACTTTCAATATCCTTTGCTCCGACTTTCATGTTGTTGAAAATGAACCAGGCAATTCCGCTAGCCCCAATGGTAAGTGGAATGTCTGGAAGCAGCCATCGGGCCGTCCATGGACTCTCAAAACATGGGTCAGCCTCGTTCATGCCAGTCTCGACAATCAGCTGAATGGTTCGGCACATTTTGCTCAAAACCCAGCGAAGAAACAACGACTCCTCAAAAGACTTCAGAACATATCCAGCACAGCTTTCAGTCTGCAACAGCTGTTGCTCGACATGGATAATGCTACGGTTCAGAATGTCCCTGTCATTGAAGGCATGAAGGCTGGCAGTCGAGCTCACCTTGTTGTCTCTGGACAACTCGGGAGCATCTGGACAGCATTCACCAAGAAGTGCCATTGCCCTCCAATCTCTGTCGTCGCTGTTCCCCAAACACCCCCGGACGCCTCCAAACTCCGCTTGTCATCCTTCCACCTTCAAATCAACCGCTTCAAGGACAGCAATGGTGATACCGTCAAGAATCCTACTAAGGAACAGCTCGCTGCAACGACTCTCGATTACCGTTGCATGACAAGTGGCTCACAGCTACCGCCTGATAAGCATTTCTCCTGGAACTGGGTCGAGCCAACCAGCATCAATTCCGAAAGCGGTGTTGTCGCCATCAAGAGAGAAGTCTTTGCCCAGTACTTAATTGATGCGATTATTCCTCAAATTAAGAAATACTGTATCACCACGGACCCCGTCGTGGGACATCGAAACGAGTGGGGCAGTGGGAAACTATGGGCAGACTGGTCTTTACCCACGATTGACAACCAGACCCCCAAGGCTCTTATCCGACGCGGGAGTACCAATATATGTGTTATTAACTACTCTGCGATCGACGACCCAGACACAAGCTCAACACGAGGTTCGATATACGGCTCAAGATATTGCCGCTTGGATGTTGTGCCTGGCTATGAATGCGACGTCGTGCTTACTGGCAACACTCTGAAAATCTTCCAGCGAGTTGGTGTCAACGTCAGATTCAAATGCGATGTTGCTCCCATTCTATTGAACCAAGTTTCTAATTTTGATGAAAGGTGTCTGGCATACAACGACGTCGCTATCGATGACTATGAGTTGTCAGTCGGACAGACAGGCTGTCTTCAAATCACCCACACCAACAGCTCCCCGGAGAGTAATCCTGATCAATTCGGGGACATGAGCTCATTTTTCCAGACTGACGATTTATTGAAGAAGATTAGAAGCGCCTTTACTGCACCAAAGCCTATCGACTTCACTTCCACAAATGCCGCAGCATTACAAAATTTTATCTTTCCCGGAGGAAAGGTCTTCACTTATAAGAATGTCAGAGCAGCACCAAGTGGAGATCTCCTCTGCAGCCTGACCTACACAGACCCCGACGAAGCCATCGCCTCTCCAGCAATGCTCAAAGTACGTGACCTGCAGTTTGAGAGTAGCCCATATTAATCTAGTTGGTAGTTTCCAGCAGCGAAAGCGGAGGATGATGTCCCATCTACTCCAGTCGCTATACCCGTCCCAGCTACGACTACGCCACCAGCTTCCCTGACATCTACGACGGAGATGATGCAGAACTACGTCCCCGGCGAAATTGTCAATCCTTCTGGCAAGTTTGAGGCCTTGCAGACACAAGATGGCCACTCTATTCTTTTCAGTCTAAGCTCTACAAATGTGTTGCAAGCCATCGTCGAGCAGAGCGGTGCCAGCTCAACAGGATGGAGAATAGCAGACCTCTCGTCTAAAGTCGTCAGTTCCGCCTTTGCCAGCGACAAGAGTGCAGTTGTCAAAACATTCGACGCCAACCAAAGTGCTGTAGACGGAACTATCAGTCTGGCAATGATTGTTACTTCTGGGGGTACAGACCACCTGCTATTATCTCTGTACAACCACAACTCAGCCGCCGCATGGACTCCCGCGCCAAATCTGTCCTGGAAATCGATTCCCTTCGATGCTGCATCAACATCTGGCGCTGCGATAGTCATAGCGGGTGTCATGTTTGCCGAGTCAGATGCCACTCATCAGCAACACATTATTGTTGATATCGACCGCTCAGCTTCTGACGCAGTCAAGCAAATCTCTCGATTCTACGTCAACCCACTAGCAACAGATAAACACTGGATCTCGCATGATGTACCAGTAGATATCCAAGACGGCAACTATCAAAGCTGTGTTGGGAGGTTCCAAAACGAGCTTGTTGATGGAGTCTTTACCTGTGGTGTATCTGGAAACTCAGGCCAACTTGTCTATGTCCCTATTAGCAACGCCTTTGGTTCCGGTCCGCCTGCACCGCGCACCCTCAGCCTCCCCGGAAATGTAACAGCTTCGGCGATAGCAACTGCAAGAGCATACAACAACTCGACAGACTTGTATGTCATTGGCGTGCAGACTCTATTCTGGTTTCCTGCAAACAGCCAGGCAAGCCAATCTGTTGCTACGACAATCTTCAGCAACAGCATTTTCCAGGACACTACTGAATTATCAGCCATGACACACGGAGGTGTTACAACCCTTTGGGGCAAGAATGGTAGCGATCAGATCTACTACACCTCTTGTCCCAATACACAGCTTGGCATCGCAGCATCATGGAGCACACCTCTCCCGCTGATGAACGGTATAGAGAACATTTCCGCCTTTGTGAACCGCACAGGCTACAGCAACACCATCTTTGCCTCTGGAGGAACATCCCTTTGGCGATTAGTACAGGCTACAGAAACAACTGCCAAGCTTTGGCGTCAGGAGTCACTTGTTGTTGAGGCGCCGCCAAAGGCCAAGGCCATCGCATTCAACTCGTACACTACCACCATCCAACTTGCAGACGACAAGAAGATGCCAGCAGGTGATGTTTCTGTCTCTGTCACGGCGCCTTGTCGAACTCCAGTTTACATCAACGGCGTGTACTATGTCCTGAGTTCAACTCCTATCACTGTCTCGTCGGACAAGACTGGTACTTTGACAATAGTTGAAAATACCCACGATACTATCAACGGGACATCCATCACCGTTACCTGTGGCGGTCATCCAACGGTTATAGATCCATCACACAAGCACTTTCAAAAGATTACTTCGCTCAACACACCCACTGCCTTGGGAGCAGCCAAGATCCCAAAGAATGTCGTTGCAGGAGGTACTTCTGGCACCCCAGTTACAGCGCCTCTTGTCGATGAATCGACTTCGACGAACGATATGCAAAGTGCTTCATATACCTTGGGTAACCTTAACACTGTCTATGGTGCCATTAAAAATCCAAACGCACCTTTGAAGGTCGCTCCCAAGCCAGTCCCTCCCAAGCCAATCCCAGAGCATCACCCAAGTTCAGGCCTTTTCGGGTCTATTTGTGACACCTTTGAGAGTATTGGCCATACGATCGAGGCTGATGTTGGAGACATTTTCCATGCCCTCAAATCAGCTGCTGAAGCTATCGTTCACATCGTCAAGGAGGCAGCAAGCGATGTGTGGCATTTCGTAACCACCATCGCAGGCAAGATCTATCATGCAGTGCTCAGTACAGTGGATGCAGTTGTTGGTGCTGTCGAATGGGTCTTCAATGCTATCAAGACGGTGATCCAGGATGTAATCCGTTTCTTGGAGCTTCTCTTGGATTGGGAGGATATCACCCGCACCAAGAATGTTATCTGCAATATATCGAAGCTGTTTATGCAGGGTCAGATTGACTTGATTGCATCTGCAAAGCCCTTCTTCGACCAGGAGATGAATGGTCTCGTTACCATGATCAACAACTGGGCTGGTGATACAAGCTGGACGGACACGATTGGTCAAGCTACAACCCAGCCCTTGTCTGCAAACTGTAAGAATCCATCATCAGGCCAGACATCTGGCTCCCAGATGCTATCCAACCACTATAAGAACAACGCTTCTTCTTTGACCCTTGTTGAAAACGACACAGCCGATAGCGGGGTAGAAGAGCTTGTCGACAACCTCTTGACCGCTCTGGAGAATGAAGGCAAGACACTCACAGCAGCCTACAACAACCTGACGAACCTCGCCCACAAGGTCTCTTCTCAACCCCTGCAATACTCCCTCAAACAGCTTCTTGCAATAATTGCCGATGTCTTCATCTCTACCGTCGGTAACGTTGGGGATGCTATTCTAGATCTTCTGACGAGCGTCGCCAGTTCCGCCATGCACCTTCTCGACACAAAGTTCCACATCCCAATCATTTCTGATATACTCAGTGATCTTGGCATAAGCGAGCCTTCGCTTTTGGATCTCTTCTGCTGGATAGCCGCTGTCGCTTATACAGTCGTGTATAAGATCGTTCACGACAGCGCCCCATTCCCCGACAACGACGACGATGTGGAGGCCCTCATCAGTGCTGATAGCTGGCATACACTCCGAACCATTCTAGGTCAGCCGCCTGCTCTAGAGGAGCTTTCCTATTACTCTCGAGCCGCTTCATACATCTGGGCAGCGCCTAAAGAAATTAGTGCGTCAACAAAGAAGACTATTTACCTCTGCTTGCACAGCGTCGGTGGTCTTGTCGATCTCCTGAATGTGTTCGTCATCCCTCTTGAGGCCGATGGTTCTTCAGAAAGCAAGGACAATCCATTCAGCCGGCCCATGTCAGCTCTACATTATTTACATACCGCCTGCAGCACTGTTGCTGGATACGCTGTATCTCAGAATCCCATATCAAGCGATGCTCTCAAGGCTATGCAGTATACGAATACTGCTGTGGGCGTTGTGGCTGGCCCTCTTCTCGAAAAGTTCTTGAAAGCAACTAAGACAGGATTTCCCGCCCTTGACAAACGTGGCATGGGAGCTTTCGTTAAGGTTGTTGTCGGATATTGGGGGTTGTTTGTCACTGCCGGTCATCTCTATGAGTTGAGCCACGAAGCTGCTAGTGCCAGCCGGACGGCAGCTATCCTTATGGAGGTCAATAATATACTAGGAGAGATAAGCAGTGTTGCATATTGCGAAGCCGTCAATGATCCGGATCGAACCAGCAGAGAAATTCCTCTCTTAGTTGTAGCTGGGGTGGGATTGATTGGGACGGGGCTGGAGTTGTCATTACTGGCAACTGTTGACTAATAGTTTATGACTGTTAAATCTTGATGGGGATAAGTATTTGTTTAATGGACATCGACATTCTAATACTTCTCGTGCCTGAATATAGTCTTGTGACTGTCCTCCCTGGCATCGAGAATCAGGCCCCGTGTAGCCATTTCTAGAAGGTCTACGTCTTTTATTATGCCCATCGTTCAATCAACTTCCCTCCTCTGGCAAGCTCTTATCAGAGATGCGCCAAGCATGCCACAGTAAAGGCGACAGCAGCTGTGTAAAACCCGACTTGCGCACCCTTGCCAGCAGTATTTCGGATAAAATCAAAGCCTTCAACGGCGTACACATCACTCTCGACTGATGATGATTGACTGCCAGAATTGTTCATCAGCCTAGCTTCAAAGGCGTGTACCGCGTCTGCTGAGATCGAGACATCGCTGTCTTTGAGGCTTTTGACAACTGTTTCAGGGTTCCACTTGAATGATCCTGCAGAGAGCGAGAGATTGGTGGCAAGTTCCCAGCCAAGCCGACCACTGATGTCGCTGGTGAGGGCATAGAACCAGAGATCGAGTGCACGAGCCTTTGGTTCGTTAAAAGCTCCAGTGTTGGCATCCCACGTGATTGTAATAGGCTGAGTCAGATTGAGTTTCTGAGACGAGTCAGGGCCAGTAAATTCGAATGCATGGCTGGTATGGAAGAAGGCGTAGCCGAGAATAGAAAGCAGGGGGCCGTAACGCATTATGTATCGCGAGACGAGCACTAATGAGGTATCGAGGACAGGATAGGCCGCAAGAGAGCTAAGTGCAGAATTGGTTAAGTGAAGCTATGGTTAACACGTGTAGAAAAATGAGGTAAAGGACTCTTTAAAATGAAAGATGGAGAGAATAAGCAGGTGAGAATGCAGATCTTGTGACCAAGCATTCATGCTCAAGAGGAAAAGTGCTCAAGGTACTCCGTATAAACCCCCGTAAATGGCAGGTGACGACCTTTTCTTGTTGGTTGATCCTTGACTGCTGGGAAAGAGTTCCACTTTGAGCCATGTCCCTTACCGTATGGTGCAGAAGACGCGCTTGGCAGAGAGTCCAGAACGCGAAAAATGCCACGTTAATCGGGCGGATTGGAACCTGGAATACAAATGGCTGGCATGGTGTCAGTAAGCACTAAGTGGGCGACCCGAAGCATCGATATAGGCTAAACTTGGACTGAGGGCAAGTGACGGTGAGAAAAGAAAATATCGTGTTGGTTGAGAGAAGCTTGCTTGGCGTGAGGGGTATTGTGGATAGTGGTTTCTTTAGTTGGTTAGTTGACGATGGGCTATTTTATTAAAAATTGGCTTCGCACGGCTGCCAACACGGAGATACTAGTTGTATGCAATTAACACAAGTGTAATAGGAGCTGAAGAAAGTAGCATGGGACGGACGGGGATGGTAAATAGATAATCCAGATTATAGTAGCCTCCCTACAAACCTGATGGATATGTGTCTATGTATGTAAGATAACTATGCGAAATAAATGTAATTACTATATGAGATAAAGCAGCTTTATTAAGCCCTGCTCAGTAAGTAATAGTTTCAGTCGTTGTAGGTTCCGGAATTGTAGTTGTGGACGCAGTGATACCAAGCTCAGAGCAAGCCTCATAGTACGCTGATGGACTATCGCAATATGTAGCATAAGCCGGGATGCCAGTCGGGAAGATGGTCGTTGCCGCCTCACCCTCAGCACGACGGACAATCGCATTTGTAGGAATGATGATAACATTTCCACGCTTTTCCACTGTCTGGGTCCTGGAGGACCGTCAGCTGATTGTCTACTGATTGATGTGAATGTTACCTACACTTCGTACGAGCTGACTGTGACTACATTGAAATCCTGGCAGTCTGCAATCTTATCTGTAAACCGAGGCCCGTTGTTGTTCAAAGTAAGGCTTTGTACACAGCTATCATCTGGTGGAGCTGTTGTTGTCGACTCGGAGTCTGAGGTCGTGGTGGCTTCGGCTGTAGTGGTCGCATCCGAGCTGGCGATGGAAGAGGTTACGTCTGTGCTCTCAGTGACAGAAGTCTGGACATAGGACGTCTCGGTCGACCCGATGGTGGTCGACAGAAGCTCAGTGGAAGAACTGGTGGGTTTGCAAGGTCCAGCAATGACAGTGACCGCTAGTGCAGCAAGAAAGAGAGTGTTACGGATCATGTTGAGTGTAACGACCGGTGTTGGTAATCAAGATTAAAAGAGTGTATGCGTCCCAGGTTCAAAGCAAAAGAAAACAATGTCAAAAGGACTAGAGTTTACTGTCGAGGTGAACAAAGAGATAAATACATGAAAGCAGGTCGCACTACTCAGCGGCTTTATCACGCATATTGTAACCGATCTTTTCTTTTTTAGAAGTCCTCGGCTGCAATGGAATTCTCTAGTCAGGGGCAGCTGAGAGACTATTGAATGGCTAGACCTGACTTGGTGTTTTTACTCAAACTAGTTGGACGCTATTGAAAAGCTACCAGATTAGAGCCAGCGAAAACGACAACCCCTGTATTTTTCTCTACAAGGAGGTGGATACGGGAAACAGGAAGTACCCGGTTGCTAACAATCCATGCTGGAAATGTGGCTTGACTAAGATAAGCATGATGTACTGAGCAACACCCACATCTATCTCTCGCAAACGTGTGCGCTGCGTGTTCAGGGACAACACTTCGTAGCAACCAACACATTGAAAAAGTGGTACGACGTTGGTACGCAAAGTAACCGAGATAACCAACTAATCTGCGTATACCGGAGATTCCCCCTGGAGTCCAACAAGACTACGGTAGTAAGGCTCTTCAATGCCCTTTTGGGCCACAATTCAGCCGTAAAACACCTCTAACTGCGGAGTACGCAGTGGTGGTACTGGTTACGAGAGCTCCCGCTGCTAGCATGATGCGCCAAAAGACATGACGCTGTGATTCAGCGCCGCTCGACGCCTCTCAACGCGTCTTAGCAAGTTTTAGCATCTCCAAAACGTGGTCGCTGGATTGAGACTTGCATTAGCTCTGGGCTAACCTTAACGAACTCTACGAGATCTAGTTACACCTGAGCCCCAACAGCTTTATTGAACCCGACCCGCGATGGTTCTGCTTCCGACTGCATCAGAGAGCTGAATGACTTGGGCCCTCAAGATCAAAGTTGCTATCCCCAAAGAGAGCGAAACTATGCCGTGCCGGAACCACTATTTCCTGGGGATGTTGGTTATCTCTTGAGGGCTATTCAAGCAGAGTTGAGCATGTTGCAAAAGATAACCACTACTGTTACAGTCTGCTTCTTCATCGCTGTAGTGCAATAAGGTGGATTGATTCTGAAGTGGTCCACCTCTATGTCTATATCAGGTATTACATATAAGTAAGTAAACTCAATAATAAGAATTATACCTTTTAATATAAGATCTTAATATAGTTTAACTAAATAGATCTTTCTAAATAGTATATATTATAAGAGTTATTTTATATTAAGATAGAGTTTAATTTTCCTAATAGATATAAGCTCTACTTATAGTATATATACTGTTTTGAAGCACTGTAATATAAATAGTTCCTTATCTTCTATTAAAAAGATTTTATAACTGATATAATATATATAGCTCCTTAATAAAGACTATAAATTATGCTGTAGAGAGTTTTACAAAGTGTTTTGACCAAATCCATCCAATTGTATTATCTGGGTCATCTTGATTCTTTGCAAGCCATAACTCGCCACCTTTACTCAGCACCGTTTCGCCCAGCACATCAAAGACCTAGAGAAATTTAATTATTAGTGTCTAATTAACATTTAAAAATGTCTAGGTGACTCACCTCTCCTGCTTGATAAACTAAGTATGGATAGCCAGCCTCATGCTTAGTGGTTGCTATATTAAACTCGAACATAGATGCTGCCAGCCAGAGAACATTATACTCCTCTGGAGTATTTGGTTGATTTACTGTCTGTTGTAAATCACTGTCTTTGCTGGGCAACAGAAATTGATCAATTCTTTCAGCTGCAATGCTTTCGTCGTACAGTTCTGGCCAGACAACTGTCCCTCTGATAAAATAGATGCGGTCATCAGAAGAAATCATCTCTACCGCGTCTTTTGGTATCAGCGACGCTGATTTCAGGCTCTATTCTTTAATTAGAATCGAATGTCAATCTTAGTGGGTTGGTTCTATGTTCTGCACGTACCTCTGCATTTGTATGGCATATAGGACACACCCGACCATGCCCCGCCATACTCCAAAGCGTGTCACATGACGAGCAAGTGAGTATTCTAGGTACGGCATCCTCGGGGTCCTCGTTCTCATTGTGTTCTAGATCAGAAACACTTACTTCGAGCCCTTCTACTGCGATAGGTAAGGCTTCTAAAGCAAGCATCTGCTGATGCCGCGCCAGATGCCGACAGAATTCCTTCATGTTTTGAGACTCCACAGCTGGAGGTGTCCATTCATCGCAAAGGATGCATCCAGAGATCTCCGTCCGCTTGGCTGGTCGCTTACACGCTTCTAGAATCGTGTCTAATTGGTTGATATCCACTGCCTTGGAGTGTGCAAGTTTGAAATGGCTTCGTAATAAGTCCGCGTTTGAGAATACCGTGTTGGCGTTGTTGCAGAGAATGCATTCCCAGTCCTGCCTATGGATATTTATCTCGTGACTGAACCACTCTTCACGTGTTGAGAAGAGGTCGGCAGTGCAGTCCCTGAAAGTGCATACGTAGGGTTGCAAATCTGAAAAAACGTGTTTCCTGTGAGCGGTATAAACCTACTGATCTTGGACTACTTGATTGTAATGATAGGAATTCTCACCTCCATTGATTCCGATCAGCTAGCTCTTGGATTGTCCGGCAGTATGGGCATTCTATTGGCTCACCATAGTCCAGTTGAACTCCATCCAGTACCATTTCGGGTAAGTCAGGAATCCGGCGGCCAATATCTTCACCGAATGAACTAACAAAGGATGTTGCCGAAGTAAAGATCGAATATCTGGCGGCATTTTCTGCTGTGATCTCCTCTGATCCCTCCTGATAAGTCGTTGCGACGGTGCTCTGGGCTTTGCTTAAGATGTCAATGGTATCCTCTTCATGAGTTGGTTTGGAGAGTTTCTGACGGTGGCTTTGTCTGTACTGAATGATCAGACGCCTTTTCGTGATAGCATTACCCAGGCGCTGTGCTAGCCAAATTGACTGTCTAACTTTTGGGAATTTGTCCTCGACATGCTTGATGTCTGGAGAAGTCTCATAAGGGGTGAAGCCATCGAGGCCAGGGAGCCGCCCCTTTGGTCTCATTCTGCGTATCAGTGTTGAAAGACTAAAAAGGTGATCTATTGAGCAGTGCAAATTCTTCATCAGCTGCTCAACCTCATTTGTGGGTTCAATCGAGGTCGATTGCGCGATTTGGGAAGTTCGGTTTTGGTGGCTGCCTAGTTCAATGCCCAGGACTATGAAAATAGGCGTTAGATTGCAAATATCGATTATTACATGGACACTTACGTCGGTAAAGAACACCTTCTAATCTTTGCAATCCACGAATGACGCTTTCCCTTTGTCTTGGAGCATCCTTGAGTCTGGCATCCAATGAGGCCATGGATCGCTCTGGCTGGAGAGCACCGATGTTTGAGGCCCATACCCTCAATCTACCGCGTTCATCATCAAGAAACTGAGCTTCTGCTGTATTAACCCATGAGGTTGAATGATTCAGCAAGTGTTGCAACTGCGAAACGCAAGCGTTGGCTCGTTTGGAAATTGTCAGGTTGACGTTTGATGAAGACATGACTCTGATGCAAAGAAGAAGACTGCAAAGACGGCACAATCTCACGCTCTGCATCAAAGATAACGCTTGCACGTGAGTGGCTTGATTAGACAGGAAAATCATTTGTCCATGTTTGCCTCGTTCTAGAACTTTCAGCCGCAGCCTGATTTATTTCCCCGCTTCGTATCTCAGTTTTCAGCTTTCTCCATGCATCTGACACGACGTGAAACTTCTTCTTATTATTCTGACTAACATCTAATCAGGAAAATGTCTGGATTCGAGATCGCCGGCATCGTTCTCGGTGCATTTCCGATTTTATATGATGCTGCTAAGGACTTGAACGCTCGTTATCGAGACCTCAAGTCTTGGTGGCAATTCGAACTCGAGTTCGAGAATTTTGTCTCAGCTGTTGATCGCGAGTTCGTTGCATTTACGCAGAACCACGAGATCTTGTTGGTGCCATTGAGTCTACCAGATGCTGAACTTGAACTCCTTCTGAATGACCCACATACTCTCCTCTGGCATGAACCTCGAATCCAAGCTCTGTTGAGAAAGAGAATCCAAAGTCGCTACTATACGTGGTATATGCAACAGCTGAATGATATCAACGACGCCATTTCTAAACTACTTGACCTTTTGCCAATAGATAAAGTAAGCTTTAGAAGTTGGTTGACATCACCAAGTTGATACTGACAAAAGACAGGTTTATCATACCGACTCAACTGGTCTCGCAAGTGAGTTCTTTAGACTTAAATGGAGCTTCAGTCGCAAGAAAGATGAATTCCTGGCGACTATAAAGGATCGGAACGAAAGCATCTACGCATTCCTTGATCGCGCTGCACACGTTGAAACGGGAATTAAATCAACAAGATATAGCTCTCTAGCATGGCAGTATCTTACAGCGCAAAGACAGGCCATTTCGATCTACGAGTGCTTACAGTGCAATTGGACTTGTAGCTGCCTGAGTAAACACTCATATGGTATTAGTGCTAGCACTATTCGACAAGAGCCGAAACGTGGGAACTTCGTTTTGGTCTTTGAAGAAGGTCCTAGACTTACAAAAATCCAAGTAGAGGTAGTGGAAACCGGTCCTTCGGTATCTACCAAATCGTCCACTCAGAGCACCGAAAAGGTCCCGCGCCTCAAGCAAGACCTAGATGTCAAAAGGCGATACAAGCAAGTGCGTGAAATGAGTTCCAGCCTTGCTTCTTTGGCTATTTCTTCTCTTTCGATCGTCGGGAGTCCCGCTAGGCCACATCAAGTACAAAGCCGGCTTCAAAGGCTCGGTATAAAACTCCAAAAGAAACCTCAGTCAGGAGCCAGGTGAGAAACTACCAGAAACATTTGATAAAGGCACTGACATGGCTGTAGTATTTACGTCTCCGACCAAGCTCCGGCAACCATCCCAGACCTGCCGCGCGTGAGGTTTGCCCAAGATTGCGGGCCCATGGCCCCAGAAGCAGTAAATCAGATCCAGGACATGTGCTACGTTGCAAGGGGAGGGTTCGACCAACCTTTTATAGGGTCTCTAAGTAATGGTCCTGAAAATCACTTGCTTCTCAGGTCGGACGATCATTCAGACAGAAATGAGACTTTTGAAGTACAAACACTCGATACTTTTCTAGAGTCCACACCAAGGATTGGGCAGAGACTGAAAGTTGGTCTCCAACTGATTCAAACCGTCCTCGCACTTGGCGTATGTCCATGGGTCCCTGAAACCTGGAGCCAGACCGAAGTCCTGCTTATACGGAACCCAGATTCCGCCATGCCAACGCCATATATCTCTCACCAGTCAATCAGAAACACCCTCAAAGGCAAACAAAAAGTCCAGCCCTGCGTTCAAGCTCGTAGCAGCCTCTTTGCTCTCGGGGTGCTTCTACTAGAGCTTTTATTTCGCATAAAGCTAGAGAGCTTGCCACTTCGCGACGAATACATAGGTGCAGCAGGACAAGCCCTGCAGATAGCTGATCTTTGTACTGTCATTCAGTGGCAGAAAAGCGTTGAGGGACAGTTTGGTGATAAGGTTGCGGATGCAATTAGAAGGTGTATCCTTTGTGCTTTTGAAGCTCAGCCAGATTTAAGTGACTCGGCGTTTGTCAGGGCTATTTGTGCTGGTGTTCTTCAACCTCTAGAAGAGTTTTTGTCTGCATGGATCTCAGAGTAAGAACAATAAGTATATTACTTAAAGAAGAGAATTGACAATACCTGCATATAGATAAGTAGTACCTAAACGGCAAAATATATTTAATTTACCTAGCTAATGTAATTAGTAGGCTTTGTAATAATTCAAGTCTAATGCCAGACGACAAGGTCATGACTTACTATTTCTCATGGACAATATTCTCCAATTCCCATATGTTAGTTTGACGCCCGTTCCATGCCCAGCTACACTCCATTTAAGTTGGAAATATCAAGGCCTGTCTTTAATGGCCATAGAGCATGAAATTAATAAGGTTACTTAGCCACTGACGGCTGTCAAATTGGTCTAATAGATCTTGGTTGTACTAACTATAAATACCTTTTAAAACTAATATATATACTTTAAAAAGAAATTCATAATCCCTATCATATCTTAATTCAATGACTCAAGCTCATCTTGCTGATTATCATCAGTAAGAGAAACTGTGAAATTTCTCCCTTCATAGGAGGGTGTTTTTCTCCTCGCACGAAACCGTTTTCCAGTGGGTTTCCGTCGAGGTTTATGTGGGTAGTAGCTGCAGATATTTGTCTTGCCACCTTTGACTCTCTAGATGAGTTTTTCAAGTGGGAACTCACATCTGTCCTAGGTCCATCGTCATCTACGGCAACACGCCTCCTTGGAATAAACTTTGCTGTCGGGCTTCAAGGAACAGTTGCTATTGCAGCTACAGTTTGACCTTGGCCTGTGTCTCCATCGAACATTAAATCCCCTGCCTGGCTTCCAGGTAGAGTCTCATAGGCTGATGCTTGGTCATTATTTGAGTGACCATCATCATCATCAACTCTACTGTCGCTTGATGGCCGCTGAGGTTGTGGTGTTGTATTTGCTGATGGAAAAGGTCTATGAAAGTTCTGAGTGCGTGGTTCTAGCCTCTGTTCTGTTTCATCAAAGTGCTGCGCCCCGCATCCTCGATGGCCCTTATCTCTCCATTCCTTGTCACTCCCAAACGCGGAAGCCCGATCTGCTGGGAAGCAGTAATCCCTAGGGTCTACTGGAACTTGACGCTCAGACGTAGGATAAGGAAAATGCGGCCTTTCATCCGTCATCGAACCAATCATGTGGTTGTTCAAATTCCAGTTCCTCAAACTTTCAGAGAAGGCAAAACCTAGTTCTTCTGCAAAGTTCGGGGGCCTAGGTATATATCTTCTGGCGTATTCTTGCACAGGCAGGTGCCATATATGGTGCTCCGCTGGTCTACATCCTTTTCGACCCCTCGGTGGAATTGCGAGGACAAAGGGCCGGAATGTGTATGGCTATCTCGACGGTGCTCTTCATTACATTGATTTTGGCAAAGTAGTAGTAACAGATTTACTCTAATTAAGCAATAAATATTCTCTATGTAATAAGAAAATATTATTGCCTTTATAGCTTCTTCTCTAAAGGCATTTAATTTAGAGTCTTTTTAAGGATAGGACTGCAGACAGAAGTCCAGGCATCTAGCTCCACAACACCCCGAATCTCTCGGATGTAGAGGAGGCGTATCTCAAAGCGCTCAGGGTTGCACACTCGATTCTAACCACCTTGAGGATATCCGGCTCTATATGTCCCGCCTGTAAAGCAGTATGACGTAAGGGTTATCTTCAATAGCCCTTACGGAATCCAAATGGCCTGTTCTGGGCGACCGTCCAGTCAGGAACCCATGAAGGCCAATTCCTGTTGGTGTTGTGTTCTTGTTCACAGCATCGGAGGATAGACAGATGCGGAAGTTGTAGCCAACTTTCGTCTTGGCGTATTGCGGCCGAGTTTTTATCAGTAACCTGGCAATTTAAAGAGGCAAACAACATCACGATGGATATTAGAGGCCCGAGGAGCGATCAACGTTCTGCCAAGAGGATTTACAGGATTGCGGTTGAGGGTCATCGGCACCCAAGGCATGATGGAGCAAGCATTCCATACCCAACACGGTCAGCGGCTTGATATCTGCCCTGGTTCGCAAAAATGCGTGGTCGGCTTTTGCGGTGCCGATCCCTACAGCTGAAAGCAAGGGGTTTCCCCAAGCTTGTTGATACGAGAAACAAAGTTTGCAGATCGCTTGCGAGTTACCAATTTCTCAATGACTAATCAGCCTGCTGAATTGGAGAGTGGAGACAGCTACAAACATCAGCTCTACCTCGGAGGGCGGCGCAGTGAAAAGCTTTCATACCGCTCGAGTCCGTATCGTCAACTATGACAGATAGTCCGATTCAAGTAATCTTTCAACCAGTGAAGTCGATGACTCACCTTGGCATGACAGATGAAGTGAGGTCTGCCTGGCCAACGACTTTCCCTTTAGAGGCAGCTGCCGGCTAGAATCCAGGATAATCTCTACCGTTGCAAGACTGCCTACGAATACCGCCTAGTGCAAGATGTTCCAATCGTCACCATCTATCTTTTCATGGTCAGGGATTTGCCGTCGAGAAGGAGGGCTGCTATTTGGCTTGCGTCGTCGGAAACCGGATGTCGCCCCACCAGTCTGTTCTTTTCGTCATCTGCGATGGATTGGGAGACTGGACAAGTGGCAACCTTGACTTGCGTAGTCGTTGACCAGCTCAAGGTTTACCTGAAAGGTTTTCGATCGAACCGCAATTGGAAAGAATGGGTAATTTTCTGTGAGCTTGAACAATTCACTAGCAAGGCAATGTTCCAAGGCGAGGAACAACAGCCCATCAGGCTCTCTGTGTGACGACACGCGTACAATAAAACCTAGAGTGAATGAAGTGACGCGATAGGGCTGCTTTGATGCCCGTGGCGTCTGGACAAGTTCCAAGCGATTCCCTGTTACCGGCATAATCAATCGCACTGAGGCAGTCTGCGCTCTTGTCATCAAATTTTGCGCATAGACCCTGCAGGAAACATGTGTCCTTGTAGGTCTGTGGCTTATAGAATGGTGAGGACTTCATCCTCCCCTGTGACTGATGTCAAGGCTCTCCAGGAGATTCAGAGCTCAGCTGTGTTGCGGTGTCCAAGTTTGGCGGCAAGCCAGAGCGGCGTTAGACCAAGATTTCAAGTGATTCTAAATAATTGATGTCGGCGCCCTGTTGAAGGAGCCATTTCAAAGTGTCGTGGCTGGCAAAAAGAAGCAGGCGCGTCAAGCCCAGTCCAGTCAGAGGCATCTTCAGTCCTCTTATTGAGATCAACGCCATGCTGAAGCAACATCTTGCTAACATTAAGGCTTCTTTTCATAATTGACGCCGCATGAAAAGCCGCATACCCATATTCATCACCGGCATCCAAGTCGCACCCCAAGGCTTGGGAGGCGAGCCGCTGCCTCAGCTGCCCCGAACGATTCTGCTACATGAAGGGCCATCTCACCACAGTTATTTGGCAGTTCAATTTAGCATTGTCGTCGTGTAGCAGGCCAACCATGACGATACAAGAGGCGGCCTTGGGGAAAGCGGGAACCCGGATTGTTACCGTCAATTCCGAGGACACTGACTTGCGGTGGGTTGAACTCGCAAGTGCAATTAACCCGGCCAAGATTGCTGCCGATAGAGCCGTGCTGCGGGACTTGCTCCTAACATTAATATGGGCTTCAGAATAGCGGAGAAAGCGTGTGGTATCGAAATTGGCTAGCTTGTAAGTCAGTTAGCTGCAGACATGACTCCTTCTCCTGTGTGTGGATATTAACTGGGGCTTTTGCCCGAAGGAGCAAGGAAACGGCATCTGCAAGATCCACAGTCCTCGTAATTAACAGTCACAGATTCCAAGACACGGATCAACGGCAGTTTGACACACATCAAGCGACCGTTGGAGGAATGCCCATGGCATGACAATGGCGCTTTAGGCATCGCCGTGGCCGTTTGCGTGGCTGTTTACGCGGCCGTTTACTTAGCCGTTATTGTTTAACGGTCTTCAAGGCGGCCGCTCAAATTGAACCTTGCTGTAACTTTTATCCAAGAACAATATATTGATAAAATCCTCATTGAGGCGAACGTTCAGTTAGTTTTCAGTTGGGGAACTTTGCCATACCAAGGTAAAACAATTAACTTACAGACATTAAAGCAGCAGCATAAATAAGTAAGATAAATAGTATTTAAACCTCTGTGATAAAGGTTTGAGTTTCTCTGGTTAAACTGCCATTCCATCCACTTGTCGGTCAGTCATGTTTCTTACAAGAAGGCTGCTTAGGTTATGTACACTTAGTTGAATCACTTTAAGACAAAGGTATTTGCTTTGAGAATAGGGTCACTTTACATTATCCACAATCTAATCCACTCGTATCGACATTAACCTCGGTGCTACTGCTGCAAGTGTCTCCCTCGCCTCGACACATTGCTGAACGCGGTTAAGTAAAAAGTTGAATCCGAAAGCAATAGCCTCGATAAACCCAAATGCGGCATAGGCATTCTACCCCATTGTTGCTTCGTATGTGATGTCTGAGGCGCTTGACGTGGGCCATCAGATGCGGCGTCCATCAACTCAGAATAACACCTTTATCAAATCAGTTCAGGCAGTATACCAGCTACCTACGCGACTGGTATGTGATTTGAAACTTGTCTACAAAGCTTGTCTGGTTTGGAGATAGCCACAGCACTAAGGGGTAATAACAACATCGCGATTGAAAATGGCCTTATATGAAAACTTGATATATATATCTAAGTGTGCAGCTTAAAATACTCTCTCTGTAGATCACTCTCCTCCTTCATTTAACCCTCTCACCTCATTCTACACTCACATTCGTTTTTCCAGACCTAAAAAATAATAGTAATGCGGTTAACATCTATACTTCTCCTGGGTCTTGGCCTGGGAGTAGTAGGTGAGACTACTACTATAACTGAGTCCTCCAGTGACTTGTCCTCATCGGTTTCTGCCAGTTCGACCTCTTCTGCAACCTCTAGCTCTACAAGCTCTAGCTCTGCAAGCTCCAGCTCTATTAGCTCATCTTCTGCAAGCTCCAGCTCTGCAAGCTCTACTCCAGAAAGCTCATCTTCTACTACAAGCTCCAGCTCTATTAGCTCATCTTCTACAAGCTCTAGCTCCAGCTCTATTAGCTCATCTTCTACAAGCTCTAGCTCCAGCTCTATTAGCTCATCTTCTACAAGCTCTAGCTCCAGCTCTACTCCAGCAAGCTCATCTTCTACCAGCTCCAGCT